TCAAAGAGAGATTATAGAAGAACTAGCGAAAAGCTAACGAATTAGTAGCGAAATACTATAATAAAGACCACTAACCGATATAGTTTAAGAAAGGTAATCTTATAGGGTTATTAACTAAGAATCTAAGGTTAAAAGGAAGTAAGAAGCTAGCCCCTCGCTTTATCGGAACCTTCAAAATCCTATAGGCTATTAGTAAATAAGCTTACCGCCTAAGCTTACCCCGGTAGTATAACCGAATCTATAACGTTTTTTATATATCCCTTCTCGAACTATAGCGGAAACTAAACGGGACTAACTACAAATTCCTACCGATACCCGATCTCGAGGATAATAATAAATACGAGATAGAAGAGGTTCGCGAAGATAGGACTATTAACGGCGAAACTCACTTTCTAGTAAAGTAGAAGGGATAGCCCTCTAAATATAATTAATAGGTCCCCTAGGAAGATATAGGTAATACTACGGAAGCTATATAGTCTTACTAGAAGAGAAAGAAGGGTAATACCAGATTAAATCTAAAGGATAAGTAGCGAAAGGTCACCGAAACGACGGCTAAAATAAGATAATCCCTCCGCTATAAAACGCCTTAAGGGTAGGACCTTACTAAGTATTACTCGATACGCTATAAGCGGGAACCGCTATTAAACACTCTCCGGAACTTTATATCTAGCGTAATAACTTTCTCCGCTAAGATACGCTAGTAGTCCTTAGTTAAAGGACCGGGCGAGAAGGACCGGGCGAGAAGAAGGAGATAAGGAAAGAAAGAAAGAAAGAAAGAAAGGGAGAAATTTATTTAATTTAAAGGACTACTACTAAAAACCCGCCGAAGCGGCGGCGAAACGAAAGGCGATCCCCTATAGAAAGATAACTTAAGGGTAAGCCCTAGCTAAGTCCCGCTAAAGAAAGCACCCTAGTATAGATAGGCCCCCGAAAGAACGAGGAAATAACAAAGAAATCTAGTAGAATCCGTAGTAGAAGGGTAATAGCACCTAGATCTTAGTCTCTATAAAGATAGGGAAGTCCTCTATTATAAGGGCGGCCACCTTATCTCCACCTATAGAGGCATTATTATTATTATCGGAGTCTAGGTCATCCTAAGCCTCGCGAACTACTCTCGAAACCTTATCGAAAAAGACCCGTTTCGCTAGAGTCTAAGTAATATATCCCTTATCTCTAGGATAAAGACGAAGAAGCCGCTTATTAAAACGGTCCGCTTTCTACTCCGGAGTATTAAGGGGACTAGGGGTAGGGATAGTAGGAAGGGCAGTACAGCGGCCGAAGAGAAGCGTATCGTAGTTAGCTTAGGTTAACTACCGAAACGCTAGTTAGTATATATATAAACGGAAGTAGAGGAAGTATACCTTAATTTAGGTCTTACTCCCGGTTNAGAATCTAAGGTTAAAAGGAAGTAAGAAGCTAGCCCCTCGCTTTATCGGACCCTTCCGAATCCTATAGGCTATTAGTAAATAAGCTTACCGCCTAAGCTTACCCCGGTAGTATAACCGAATCTATAACGTTTTTTATATATCCCTTCTCGAACTATAGCGGAAACTAAACGGGACTAACTACAAATTCCTACCGATACCCGATCTCGAGGATAATAATAAATACGAGATAGAAGAGGTTCGCGAAGATAGGACTATTAACGGCGAAACTCACTTTCTAGTAAAGTAGAAGGGATAGCCCTCTAAATATAATTAATAGGTCCCCTAGGAAGATATAGGTAATACTACGGAAGCTATATAGTCTTACTAGAAGAGAAAGAAGGGTAATACCAGATTAAATCTAAAGGATAAGTAGCGAAAGGTCACCGAAACGACGGCTAAAATAAGATAATCCCTCCGCTATAAAACGCCTTAAGGGTAGGACCTTACTAAGTATTACTCGATACGCTATAAGCGGGAACCGCTATTAAACACTCTCCGGAACTTTATATCTAGCGTAATAACTTTCTCCGCTAAGATACGCTAGTAGTCCTTAGTTAAAGGACCGGGCGAGAAGGACCGGGCGAGAAGAAGGAGATAAGGAAAGAAAGAAAGAAAGAAAGAAAGGGAGAAATTTATTTAATTTAAAGGACTACTACTAAAAACCCGCCGAAGCGGCGGCGAAACGAAAGGCGATCCCCTATAGAAAGATAACTTAAGGGTAAGCCCTAGCTAAGTCCCGCTAAAGAAAGCACCCTAGTATAGATAGGCCCCCGAAAGAACGAGGAAATAACAAAGAAATCTAGTAGAATCCGTAGTAGAAGGGTAATAGCACCTAGATCTTAGTCTCTATAAAGATAGGGAAGTCCTCTATTATAAGGGCGGCCACCTTATCTCCACCTATAGAGGCATTATTATTATTATCGGAGTCTAGGTCATCCTAAGCCTCGCGAACTACTCTCGAAACCTTATCGAAAAAGACCCGTTTCGCTAGAGTCTAAGTAATATATCCCTTATCTCTAGGATAAAGACGAAGAAGCCGCTTATTAAAACGGTCCGCTTTCTACTCCGGAGTATTAAGGGGACTAGGGGTAGGGATAGTAGGAAGGGCAGTACAGCGGCCGAAGAGAAGCGTATCGTAGTTAGCTTAGGTTAACTACCGAAACGCTAGTTAGTATATATATAAACGGAAGTAGAGGAAGTATACCTTAATTTAGGTCTTACTCCCGGTTAGCGAGTACTCCTTACGGTAAGCCTACTCCGAAATATCAAAAGCTTAATATAGGTCCTATATTAATCCGGCGATAATTAGACGGGCTTCCGTAGGAAATAGCTAGTCTATAAAGCTTCTAGGGTCGCTCGGGTCTATCTATCCCACCTAAAACATTTCACGCGCCCACGAAAGAATAATAGCTAGGTCGTGGCTATCTCCTATTATAGTAGTTACAATCTATAACCATTAGTCTTATCCTCTTAAGAAGATTTAGCGAAACCCACCGGAAAGCATAAAGTATTACGAGCGGAACACTACCGACACATCACCGAGGCTTTAGCGTCGCGGACGCATTCGATCTAGATAGGCTAGTCGTTATAGGTAGGGTCCTACTTAGCGAGCGCGGTCCGAAGATAGTATATACACTAGAGAATCCCTATAATAATAGGATTCTCTAGGAGAGGCCGGATTCGCGGCGGCATCGTGAGGTTTTCGGTAAGATATAGGTAGGGATTCGAGGGCGAAGAGGCGCGTTAATATAAAGGAAGCTAACGAGCGAGAGAGGTAGAGGAAGGAGAGGATAAGAAGTAAGGAGGAGAAGAAGCGTTACTAACATCAATAAAGGAAACGCACTATCTTTGTTTACTTACCTATACGTTTACCACGTTTACCACGTTTGGTTTCTATTTTGACTAATACGTCCCCTTTTAGGCGTTTATTTATTTTCCACATATCGATTTCTCTCGAGGGCGAGAGAGTCCTTAGAGGGGGGATAATTATTATGATATTTCGATAAGACTATTTACACACTGATATTAGGGCCTTAGGCATACGTAGACCGAGGGTTCTACTAAGGCGGTAGCCATCCGGCGGTCAGTCGGTGGCCCCTCGGCCGCGATACGCGACAGCCACGCTGTATGTAGGCCGCACCCACAGTATGTGCCATACGTTGGCTATACGGTGGCCTTTCGCCATGGTTTCCCCCTTACTTCGTGTTTGATTCCTGTTTGCACAAAAGATAATGTATTTAAATAGATGCTTGAGGAAGTGGGATTCATCTTCCTCAAGAAACAGTCTTTGTCTCAATCTGACTTGGTGCTTTCCTCTCCTACCTAGTTAACAGGCCATCTATCCTGTAAAGTAGATACTTCCTTAACACTAAGGGTCTGGAGCTCTTAGATTTAGGGCGGGAGGCGAGCTAGGACTACTAGGTATAAGCGTCGGTCGTTAATACCCTATAGCTTAAGCTTTCTTAGGGTAAAGTTTAGATAGCTTTGTAGAGATTAAACGCCGCCGGTAGATCCCTTTTATAAGTTAATTATATTTTCCACGTATCGACTCTAGTCCGCGTGCAATACTAGTATCACGATGATATTCTTTCGATTTCTTCTTCTACGTTAAGTACTAGTGTCGAGATAGCTAGTCTCGTAGGTTTTGCTCTTCTGATGGAGACTATAGGATATAGTTAGCTTTAGATATGATAGGAGTAACGAGGGAAGATAAGCTACGATAGAAGGATGCTAGCAAACCTTGTTCTTAGTGGATGAAACGAGATTAGGAAACGGAAGGGTGTGAATTTATGTTATTTTTGAACGGCTTAAATCATGTCGAGGCGACGATAGTTAAGATGATTAGCCTTAGCCTTGGAATAATACTATTAGTCTCCGTCAAAATTACATGGGTTAACTTTCCCTAACTACTTGTATAATGTTAATTATGTGACTGTGTAATTCGAACAAAATATCCAGAGAAACAAGCCACTAACTCCCCTAGGGTCCTATGCCCCTATTAGTCCTATATCCCTGTTCAAAATCCGCCCCTGTCCGGGCACGGCAACACCCCGGTCTCTCAGCGTGGCTAGCAAAGTCTACTTGATTGTAAGTAACACCGGAGTTGCATCACATCATGGAAGGGTGGTTTTAAACAAACTTGAATGTCTATTGAATGTAGATAGAGCAAATTTACGATGATAATCTTGCCTGGCCGAGACCAGGCAGAAGAAGGTCGAACTAGTCCTTACTCTATCTGAAGAGACATCTAGGTATATATCACCCAAAATGTGACTCCTAAGTCATTCATCCAGCGCCATAGGATCCCGATCTAGACTAGTGGAGAAGATATTCGGGAAGGGCTCAGATTTCTGGGGTACAGAAGTACAGAAAGTGTTTAATGCTACTATGTCTGGGTATATATTAGACATTTACCCTCCAGAGCGGGTGTGCCGGAATAAACACCACTATATACTTCCAGTTCCATGGCTCCTCCACCAGATTACGAGCCCAGCATAGCTCCAGCCGCGTTTGCAGCTGCTTGGCGCGAGAAGTTCAGGTCGGAACAACGGCACAGTTCCTCTATTTACAGTCTTCCCGATGATGATTGTCCTTTCGACTATGACGACCAACCACTGCACAATAATGCTGGAAATGTGCTTGAGAATGAGGTTGGCCGCCAACGTACTGAATGGGAGGATGAAGTGGTGTATAGCCTTTTCTAAGGGTTTGGCGAGAACTAGATCGGGATGATTAGATAGTGGTTTCTTCTTGGGATACATGACGTATTTTTCTCTTTTTCCTTCTCCCAGTCTTAATAATTTCGTGTAATGGCACCAGTTGATCCTGGATCTCACCCTGGCTTTAATTTGGAAAAGACTCCATTCGAATGACAAGAATAATAGGAGACCCAAAGCGGTGTGTAAAATCTCAAGGGTGGTAGAGCCTGCCCGGGGGTTTGGCGCTCTGAAAGCGCAAAGTGGTTTAAAAGCAGGCGTGTAACTTGCAGTATTTCCAAGCATTTAGACTTTGGTTGAGAAATCAAAGCATATCACAGTAGAAAACAGACCATTGAATTTGCTTTGCAACGTTATGTTCAATTCTGATTGGATTGTGACGAAGCTGCTCTATTGTTGCCCAGAAGCCGGTACAATGGAGACATCCAGTTCACGGAGGAACAGTCCAGCTAGAGGATGCCTTCCCTTCATGAGGTTCAGAATTGATACAATATATTGTAGCAATGATCTGATAGTTGGATTATCCGGCTGAGATCTTAAGTGTTGCACAAAAACCCTTGCTGCCAGAAACAAGGGAAATGGTATGAAGGTGTTGCACTATTAGTCATCAGCTCCACTGTGTCAAAAGATGAAGGGCATATACATACCTTTGACGGGTCCAAATCCCGGATTACTCGTGTGAGGCTAACTATTTGACTCGCCGCTAACAAACAACGCTGGTTGTTTTCCATCTTATACCAATCCAGCACCTGGCATGTTTTACCCAGGATGACTGCTTCTTGATGGTACCAAATCGTGGAAGCATGGACGCACAGATTAGAAAAAAAGACATTCACATCATTCATACTGCTGGGTAGTCGAAAGTGCCCGGGAAGATGTTGAAAGATGGGGATGAGAATTTCATCATAAATCTGAGGCTGTTGCCTAGCGGGCTCGCTCACGCCGCCATCATTCCCTTGTTCTGGCATTCGGCGGTTACGTGGACAGCTACGCTTAAGCAAGCTGGCCGCGACACAAACGTAAGCGAAAGAAGACAATGTGGATGCACCGTCACCGGCAAAGATCTCGCATAATTGAAGGGTGCGTTCTGGCTTGCATTCAAGGAAAGACTGCTCAGAAGCGGGAAGGGTAGTTATAATCTGCATTTGATTCGTCAGCGCTAATTGGAGGAACAATAGCTACAATCGCGATTGCATTAAGACACACCGAGGTCTCATCAATAGTCATAGGACGTCCGGTCCCAATGCTTGCGTACGAATCTATACAAAACGCCATCCAAAATATTCTTCGGCGTTCTTCTCTTTCAACCCAATCTTTTGGAGGAGGAATACACATTGTGACATCTTGAGTTGGCCCGTCCAATTGATTGAGACCAGCAGTCAATATGAGATTGGAGGTTTTACCTATACTGACCCATGCCCGGGGGATAAATAGCAATCGAAACTCGTAGATAGATAATAGTATCGATGCTTGGCATTGGGACATTGTGACGATGCTCTGCCCAAAGCTTTCCGTAGTCTCGCCAAGTTCAACATACTTGCGAGCGCATTGATAGAATTCACCATGCAATGAGTAGTATCGATCAGAAGATAATGCTGCATGGCACCATATCATATATCGCAAGGCAAGCGATGGGCGTGAAGAGGCTGAGAGACTTGAGTTGACAAAGAAGCGGCGAGGATGAATAATAGGTATCGACGGATAAACCTTTTCAAAGAATATATTGTCCCTTGGAAATTATCAGGATTTTTCTTCAGATTTTCTCCGAACGGAATCCCTTACAGCGCACGAATCAGGTCTTTGGAGGGAAGCTGCTCTCCCGAACCCGAGCCGACAGATTTCGAGTGAGAAGCGCCCGGAGTGCCAGAAATCACCTTAAAGTGTGTATGGCTGGCCAGGCAAGCTTCTATTCCGTTTGCAAAATGTTGCGTGGGATCGAACAAAGAACTTTCAAACCGCGGTGACTGTGATAAAGGGAAGTCGAAGTGTCCAGATAGAGGGATATTATGCTGATTCTCAGGCAAAGATGACGAAGAGGACAATTGTAGCTCAGGGCAGTAGTGCTTCTCTTTGAGAAGCTCTTCAATTTTGGCTAGTAGATGAATAGTCAGTAGTCGGGATAAACTTCAAGTCGCGAGTTAGCCGCAGCTTGAACATACTCAGGCGAATGTCTAGGTCTTGTAAGAGCTTCCGCTTCGGACTACTCCTCTTGCTCATTGCCTTGTAGATACAGTCTTTTCCTAGACGTAAGCACAGGCCACAACGAGGTTGGTTCCTATCACATTTCAGTTTCCTGCGCCGGCACCAAGTACATGCGTTGTCATTGAGCTGGGGACGGTCCCTATTTTCCATGGTTCAATGTCCAAAATCACACGCGATCATAGCGACCACACGCTTTAATAACTTTCGACCAGTTGTTATTTTTTGATAAGTGAAAAGTAAATTTAAAATGCGGTTTTGGCTGTTTCTAGCTTTTCAGTCGGTTCTGACGGGGTTCGACTTCCGGAATGTCAGGTGATCGAATCACGTTATTGCGCCGGGAATATGCAATCGGGTCAATTGCTGACCCGACCCTGAGAGGTATCAACGTCTCCACTTGCACGGAAGTGATGATTCATCATCTTTTAGCGTGGGATAACTAATTGACTACGGAGAACATAATTTGCAGAAATAGTATGAACATAGTTAATTATCGAGTAAATTGCACGATCACGCAACCCTCCACAATTCGGCTGTCACCTTGGCTGGTTGAGATGCTTCCTTCTTTGACTCAGAGAATGTATTTTTGCGAGTATCTCAAGGTGTTCCTGACGTTTTGTGACCAAATGTTCTATTGACGGCTTAGGTAGACAAAATGGAGGACAGCCTAGTGAGAATTTACGGGTCATCCATCGGATTTCCAAGGCACGGTTACCGCATTTTTGGGACAAAGAATTGGTTAACTAACTATAACTAACTAGTTACTTAAGCAGTATAACAAGTTAGGATCAAAGTGGAGTCGGCCATGGAGGCAACCGGCAATTACGGCAATTACGGACAACAAAAAGTGGACTTCCCACCCAACGATAGTCTATGCAAAGCCTTTGAATTCGTCTTGTCACGATATTGGGCAAGAGTAGAGGAAAAATCTGCAGGGTAAGGTTGAAGAATTTCATAAATGAGATTGCATTGGTTATTTCCGGTGATTTCCGGCTGGTGATTTCCTGCTGAGCATGAATCGCAGCCGACTTTGCGAAATCAGAGCCAAGCCGCTTCATCGTCTTAATTAGTGGCTTCGTATAGTATGGCATATTCATGATAAACCTTCATGATATGCCTCCGAAATGGCACTGCCAGAGGCAATATTTCAAACCGCATTAAGTGGGAAAATCTTATTCCGCGTAAAGTGGAGATAGATACTTCAAGTAGTGCTGCGGTCGAGAGTAATGTCAAGTAAACAATGTCTTCGGCTCACTGGCCGCGTTGGAAACCTTTGTACCACTGGCAATCATGGTAGCGTTACGCAATTTCAATGCGGTTTTTAACACCATGGTCTGCAAGTTTCATGAAGTTGGATAGAGCCTAGCCATGTGCAGTTGCGTCAAGTCTCCTCTTAGAAAGGACCCCAAAGGGGCCAATAAGGGTTGTTGTACACAGCTTCTTAGTGAAGCCGGCCAATCCGCTGAATCGCTTGCATATTCTCTCCATATAGCAATACATAGATCAATTTAGAACAAAGTATCATTCCAGCATCATTAATAGTGAATGGGAACGAAGGGGACACAGACAAAGGTTGTGCTAAATTCACCTTAATGATCGAGTATTTTGCCCGGTATCGGGATTTCTAGGGTGAGTACTCCCGGGGCTTTGTCTGGAAGGTTCTCACCTACGAACCGCAACACCCGCTCTCGTTATATATACCCATTTAAATTCCGTGAAACTCGTCACATGTTCACAGTATTTTCTCATGCCCCAATATACAATCTGACGGATTTTATAGCAGGAAAAATGTTATCTTTCGATGTTCGACGATCCGAGGATAGAAAGAATGGGAACTGGTCAATCGGGGCAGGAAGACCATTTCCACCAGATCTTCCGGATAGAGAGCGTTATCTCGTGGACTTTGATGGGCCTGATGATCAATCCAATCCCCAAAATTGGCCATCTATTACAAAGTAATTATCGTTGTCAAGATACTTGATAATTTCCCTTGTCACACAGCTGTTTATCCTTACCTCGGTTACCTACCCTCTTTACTTAGCGCTAACACCTGCATACCTTTAGATTTTTTGTCTCTGTACTGGCTTGCTCTGGGACATTTGTTGCTACGACGAACAGTGCGATTTTTTCTCCCGCGATTGACCAAGCGAGCAATGATTTTGACATCGGAGTCGAAGTCATGACACTCGGTACAACTTTATTCATTCTAGGTTTTGCAACGGGACCAATTATCTGGGCACCAATGTCTGAGCTTATGGGAAGAAAATTCCCTTTGGTAATTGCCATAATGGGTGAGGCGATATTCACGATTGTCTGTGCAGTTGCCAAAGATGTTCAGACGCTTCTCATATGTCGATTCTTCGCTGGTGTATTTGGTGCTAGCCAACTAGCCGTTGTACCAGGCTTGCTTTCCGATCTGTATGACAACAGACATCGGGGTGTCGCCATTTCTCTATATTCTTTGATAGTATTTGGGGGACCATTGCTTGCTCCTATCGCCGGTGGTTATATAACGTCGAGTCATCTTGATTGGAGATGGACGCTTTACATACCGGCTTTCTTCGCCCTAGGCAGTGGATTGCTTTCCTTTTTCTTTCTTAAGGAGACATACGCACCATGCGTCCTTGTTGAAAAGGCTACTTTGATCCGGAGAGAATCAAAAAATTGGGGTATTTACGCAAAGCAAGAAGAGGTTGAGCTTGAGATCTCTGATGTTGTTCAAAAGTACCTTACACGGCCACTGAGACTACTCTTCACTGAGCCTATCCTTTTTCTTATCACGCTCTATATGTCTTTCATTTATGGGTTGGTATATGCATTGTTAGAGGCATATCCATACGTTTTTGAAGTTATACACGGCATGGACAGAGGTGCTGCTGGACTGAACTTTACCGGCCTCATCGTCGGTATTCTTTTATCAGTTGGATTTATTGTCTCGCAACAAAAGCAATATACCGAAAAGCTGACAAACAATGGAAACATACCCGTGCCTGAATGGCGTCTATATCCGGCAATAATCGGTGGCCCTTTGTTTGCTATTGGACTTTTTTGGTACGCAAGACTGATTTATAAATATCGAAGAACTATCTGATTCAGGTTTAGGTTTGGTTGGACTGGTTTCACGCCTAAAATTCACTGGATCGTGCCGGCGGCCGCCGGTGTGCTGATTGGATTTGGTGTACTCTGCATTTTCCTTCCGTGCTTTAACTATCTTCTGGATGCCTATTTACCAGTGTAGGTACAATCCCTTTCGGCATTTCATGTATGGCTTACTCACACCTGATAGTGCTGCGTCTGCTGTAGCAGCCAATATCATTCTCCGTTCGGCCTTCGCTGCAGGCTTTCCCCTCTTCACTCGGCTGATGTTCGAAAATATGCAAGTACAGTGGGCAAGCACTCTACTCGGGTGCTTGGCCACGATTTTAATCCCAATCCCGATTGCCTTCAAGAAGTTCGGACCACGGCTGCGAGGTGGGTTTCACTAGGCTCTACTCATCCGTGGGCAGTGAACCCCACTCCTCTTCGTTTATAAAAAGACCTCTGAAGTGGAACGCAATATTGCCATTGTTGCTTGCGAATCTGCCATGGTGAGTTTTCCATTACTCCTCATTGACGGGAAGGGATTCCGTCTATCAAGCGACCTACAAACTGCGATGGTAAGAGTCGGGATGCTGATAGCCTTGCTAGACTTTGAGCGACCAACCTGACGGACCACGCACCTCAATCCTCGCGCCTCCCCTCTCTCCTTTCTCTGGATTCGACTTCTGTTGTAGATTGCATTCTTTTTTTAAAGGCCAGACTCTTGTACCCTTGTCTGATAGTCTTGAGATGTGAAACAGTGCATCACCTGGGCAGTCCTTTCTGCTTTTGGCATTATAGTTGTCGTGAAATTGTATAACTCTATCATCCATGGAGCTCTTAACCGGCTCCATAATATTCTTTCTCCTTCGATTTACAACCCGTACAAGATAAGTCCACTTGATCTCGAAACTGATCCTCCGCCTAGACCATGCTGTTTGCTTGTTGAATTCAAATACAAAAATCAAAAAGAGAGTAAAACTAACCGGCTTAATTACATTATAACCCGCGGCAGTTGATTCTATCTCTTATGGGACGAGTAGTATCGTTCAAAACCACGTAGGACTGACTACCTTGTTCTTGAAGTAAATAACTTCAATTAGACAAAGGGGAATCTGATTTCAAATATGACAGTACCTGTCTATTTAATCACTACAACATATATCTCGTGCTGAGCTCTTTTTCTCACAACGCCGGATCTATTCGCCCCGCAGTCGCGCATGAAATCTAAGGGTCAGTTGGGCATTTTATGAAATGCTAACGTCTCTTGTCGATTAGAATGGCACATTATCACTGTGGAAACGAGTATCTACCTCGTTTCACCGTTTTTGCCAGTAACTTAGTTGCTAAAGCCCTCCTCAGAAAAAGTACCTCGGACTTTGACTATGTCCCACTTTCCGAAAACGATAAGTATCCGATCTAGTTGGCGCAGTTCATCAAAATAGTCGATTGTAAGCTTCTTCAAAACCGTGGCTAGAAATATTGTAGAACATACGAAGTATTGATGAGCTCAGTACAGTACTCACGGACATCTTCACTCTACCAAGTTTTGGACTGTCCCGTGGGATCAGAGTAGATGTAGGACTGTAGTAAACTGGCTGAAGATTTTTGCGGTTGGCAAATTGTGCAACACAAAGTTGTAGGCCTCAGACTCCAATGAACGTCCTTGATGAGTCAACACAGTGCTTATGTATATTTCCCTGATCATATGTCACCGCAGATTCCTGCGCCTGAAACATGCAAACGGTCTAGCAACATGAAGGGAAATAATCTCCCCGAACCTTGCAGCTGAGCGTTGCGAAATCGAACGCGGGCATAGAAGCCCTCATCAACCATCAGCCATAACCAGAGCCAGAATCTAGACCTGCTTCCCATTTATTAATAGGCAAGCAACTTTGGACTGCTGCTAGGTTTTTCAGTCTTTTCTCACGGGGACGATGGCCGACTTTGGGTAATAGCCGATCGAATCACTTTTCCATGTCGGGAAACGTGAAATCGGGTCAATTGCTGACCCGACCCCGAGAGCGATCATCAGTCCCCATTTGCACGGAAGTGATGATTCATCATATCTTACAGCGGGATAAAATCAATTGAACGGGCGATTTTGACTTTCCTGCTTTTGCTATAGGGAGTTTTATGGTTTAACATCAAAGGACTCGGGTTAACCCTTTCGCTAAGTATCCGATTTGGGTCGGATTTTGCCTTTGACACGATACACTCTAGTGGAGTCAATTATAAAAGAAGATCTTAGTACAAGGGTTGAGAATGTAAACCCATGCCTTGTTCTCTACGAACCATGACAGAGAATCTTTCACTTGTCACCGGTGCAAGTGGGTTTATCGCGAGTCACGTCGTTCAGCAGCTGCTTGAAAGAGGCGAGCAAGTCCACGCTACGGTTCGCAGTACGAACAATGAAAGGAAGATTAAACATCTCCTTGACATGCAGGAACGATGGCCAGGGATGCTGACATTGTTCGAAGCGGATTTGCTTATCCCTGGCTCTTTTGAAGCTGCAATGAACTGCTGTTCAGTAGTATACCACATTGCCTCCCCATTCCTCATCGAAAACGAAATCCGCGATGGCCAGAAAGAAGTTGTTGAGCCGGCTCTCAAAGGGACGCAGAATGTGCTGGATGCTGTTGAGAAATGCGAGACTGTCAGAATTGTGATCCTGACCTCATCCGTGGCAGCCATATTTGGCGATAATGCCGATGTGCTGGGAATGAAAAACAACACACTCGCCTCGGAGTATTTCAACGGCAGCAGCTCTGTGACCCACAACGCCTACCCATATTCCAAAGTGATCGCTGAGAAAGAGGCCTGGAAGCTATATGAGTCGCAGCCAGCTCCTCCACGCTGGAAGCTGGTGACTATTAATCCTGGGCTTGTTCTGGGGCCATCCTTATCCCCATTGTCCGAATCTGGTAGTCTATCTTTGCTTGACCAGCTCCTACGCGGCCAGTTGCTATTTGGAGTGCCAGATATGTGGTTTGCAACTGTTGACGTTCGAGAGGTTGCCACTGCCCACATTCAAGCTGCCCAAAATCCGGATTCTCACGGTCGCTATATCCTAGCCGACAGCAAAACACATAGTTTTGTGGAAATTGCTCGAATCCTCCGATCTATTACTCAGTCTTTCTGGATGCCAAGAAACAAACTTCCGAACACCCTAGTCCGTATGCTTGGGCCTGTGCTTGGCTTAAGTCAAAAATACCTACGACTGAATTTGGGGATCCCTTTTAACATCGATAATCGTCCCAGCTTGAATGAATTGAAAATCGTTTATCGACCTCTCGAAGAAACATTGGCAGACCATTACCAGTCTTGGAAAAGTACAAAGAGCCGATCGCGCTAGCACCAAAAAGCATTCTGGAGGTCGAATGAACAAAGCATACCTGATGAAACATGATGGCAGATATCGCGCCCTCATGGGTCGATTCGTGGCTCAGGGCACAGGGTGATCACGGTCACGTCCTTGCTCGTGTCTCGTTGTTTTCCTTTGGAACCGCCCCCTCCAACCTTTTTATTTCTTTTCTTATTGCTTTACTTCACCTAAGTGTCCTTGTTGTTCATTTCACCTTTATAAGTACTCATTCAGCATCAATTTAGTCCTATAATATTGCATTGGTAAACGTAGGCCTTACCAATATGGAGCAGATGGAATGATCCTCTGTTGTCTGTCGGACATATTCTCCCGTCAAAAGAAGCAAAGACAACTGCCTCACGATGGTCAGTTGCTTGCCTCTGTAGCTATCTCATCATTTCTCACGCAGTCAAGGGTCGATTTCTCCTTCCACATTCCTTCTAGACATATTCACATAGACCTACTGCAATGCAGACATATTGCCTTCCCTAATAGGAGCGCAGACGGGCCCGATCTGGAGCTACAGTGTAAGCCCGCAGCGAGAGGTGACCAATTATGGCCAATTACTGTCTCTTGTCCTCTTGGTTGCGTGAAATCACCAATAAATTTACCATAAAACTTACCACCCTAGGTACCACTTAAAATGGGATCAAAATTGATCAAAAAGTGGCAAAGTTTACCGTACGGTGGCCACTTGCAGCGCCACGCCGAGGCTTTTCGTTAGCTCTGTCTCGATCACTAGGGATATTACCATCTTCTACTAATTAATTCCGACGTCAAGATCTCGGATGTGACATCCCAAAAGGAGAAAATGTTGATGTCAAGCCGCCTGGACGTTGTTTGGGAAGGAACGCGCGAGGAAGAGCAATGGGATATTGACTTCAGTTTTCTTTGAGAACATGAGGCATATCAAAGCCCTCATCTCTCCGGTTTTCTTCTTCTTCCTCCTCCTTCTTAGCTTCGAAACTCTCGTTTCTTGCCAACTCTCTCTCTCTCTCTCTCTCTCGCTAGCTATATTGTAGGCCGGTGGCCCTTTGTGACATCAGCCCACTTGAAAAGCTGTCTTGTTCTTGTTGATGAAAGCTCAATGAAATCCGACAAGCTAATCACATGAGCTCGATACGATTGAAGCATTAAAGGGTTGAGACCTCTTAATTTAATATAGTAAAAGTTTTCCCATCACTCAATTTCAACTAAGACAGAATCTAGTGCTTTCATGTTCCGGCTCTGATGATCATCTCAATTTTCGAGGACCCACATGTGATATTTACACGGAAGTTGAAATTAATTAGCTTGTGGAATTGCGAGTGCATCATTAGTGGTCGGACGGATAGTTAGCCCGAATGAGGTAATCTTGTTCTATTGCCCGCGTCCACCGAGAAGTGAGAAACGAAGACCGCGAACCGAGGCCCGAAGATGGTGGAGCTCGCTATATCTATGGATAGCTCTGCAGAGCGGCTCATCGCCGGCGGTAATTTAATACACTGGTCTATTTCGATTTTTGAACAACTTTTGCGGAACAAGTTTCAACGAACCTTCGGATGTCCCTCCTCACCCACCAATGGTGAATCACAATAATCTCAATGTAGTAACTTTCAGATATAGATGGCCTCCAACTGAGACGTGCATGATATCCACGTTCTTCCTACCTTATCTGGACAATCATGAGTTCCTATGTAATATGAAGCATGCCACAGGACACCTTGTCACGGCAGATATGAAAAATTTCGTCCCACACTCGTTGGGTTGGCGATCTCTACTTTTCTTGGTCCGAAAAACATTGCCTGTCGTAGATCAATGCAAAAGCTGTCATGGGTCATAGCTCTGGTTTGTTACGGCACTATACTCCGAATTCAACCCTAATACCATACGAATACTATGGAAACTGAGTGGACGCTGAATATCCTTAGCGGTATTTCACCAGTCCTGCAGTTCGCTTGACACAGCCTCTCAACTAAAGTTGCTCTTACGACCCAGCCCTTGCTGAAACAATTACCTCGGCAGTCGTCCCCTGCTGAACTACTTTTTCCTATATAACACAACGCCGCATCTCACAATCCCAATTCAACGTTACATATATCAAATAAAACCTCTAACTGATTAATCAATCATTCATTGAGAATGGGATCAGACATCAAAGACCCACTGGAACTACCATGTGGGCTAGTTCTGCCCAATCGTTTAGTGAAAGTAAGGCCAAGTGTAACACATCTGTGTTCTCGACGTTAGTTGACAACCCTCTTCCTAGGCTGCTATGGCTGAAGGGATGGCAGAAAGTGGGCGATTGCCAGGGACGCGAATTTTTCATGTTTACGAAAAATGGGCGAAAGGGGGATGGGGTGCTCTTCTCACAGGTAGGAGGATGTTGAATGACTCCGTGAGGTATCTTAAAGCATTGGATCTGATTAAGTGAGAAGGAAATGTACAAATTGATGTTCGTCACTTGGGAGGCTTCGGCGATCTGGCTACACGTGAGTATCAAGGAGGTGAGCAGGAGTCGCTGAATGCTTGGAGAACTTACGCGAGTACATGCCAACAAAATGGTACTCCTGCAATTGCTCAGATATGTCATCCGGGCCGTCAGTCCCCGAGAGGTGCAGGTGACCGTGGAATTCTGGATAAACCTATCGCACCGAGCGAGATTGCCCTCCATATCGGTAATGGGTTAGTTGCGACTATTGTACGGAACATCGTTTTCGGGGTACCACAAGCTATGTCTCTTTTTGATATCAATCGCGTTATCGCCCAGTTTGTCCGTTGTGCCCGAACGATGGCCCAGTGTGGCTTTTCTGGTATCGAGATACACGCAGCACACGGTTATCTTCTATGTGAGTCTCTGTCCTTCTAAAGCGAAACACATCAGCTCGCGCTACTTACTCGAACTTATGAGATAGCGCAATTTCTCTCCGAGAAAGTAAGCCACGGAATTCTTCCCACGAGATGGAATTACATTTGGTCTAATAAATAGCCCTCAACTTAAGAGTAATACTCGTGAAGATCAATATGGCGGTGACGCTGAACGGCGAGCCCGCATTGTTCTCGAAATTATCCACCAGATTCGAAAGGCCGTGCCTAAGACCTTCTGCGTTGGTATCAAATTAAACTCTGCCGACCATAGCAGAGCAGCATTCGAAGACACGATGACTCAAATTGGTCTCTTTTCTGAGGCTGGTATAGATTTTCTTGAAATATCTGGCGGAACTTATGAAGACCCAACGGTATGGTTCCTAATGTTCCTATTTCTATCTCTATACATGAAGGACAGCGTCCAATGACCCGGTGACCATTTATGTCACTCCTTTACATATATACCGATGAAGACTTATGATGTTAAGTTACATACTTGTGCTGACCCTAAATTATCAGATGATGGGCCGTGGGTTGCGAGACGAAATTACCAATTCCCAGAGCCCAGCTACAGAATCTCGAGAAGCGTTCTTTTTAGACTTTGCGACACAAACAAGGAAGCGATTCCCAAACTTGATTCTTATGGTCACCGGAGGATTTCGCTCCCGAAAGGGAATCGAGACTGCATTGAAGGGTGGGGTTTGCGATCTTGTCGGTATCGGCCGGCCGGCAGTTCTGAAACCAGATTTCCCACAGCTCATGATGGATGATGCATATTCCGATAAACAAGCCCAGGTGGTCTTTTCCAAAGTTCAAATTCCATTATTGGCGAGTCTTCTCAAAATCAAAATGTTGGGAGGAGGCGCAGAAACAGTAAGTACCTGTGAACATGTCCCGCCCTCCACACGATTCTGACTTATCTAGCAATACTTCCGGGCTCAAATCCATCGCATAGCTGCTGGAAATGCCCCACAATCGCCATAATCTTTGGCCTTGGCTTACAAATTGATAAATTATGCCCGTCAATGCGGATATCATGATTTATTCTTCTTAGTCTAAGTATGTATCGGATTGTTCGTGGAGAAAATGAAGTGTTTATTTTACGTCTTAGTTGTCGTGATAGAACAGATGATTGATCTGCTCTCCTAGGGAGTAAGGCTCAGGATTATTTGTGTGAATTAATCAACTGGGTAAGGTTGATAAGTGTTATCGCGTGATATAATTATCGCTCACACTCCCTCCTCAGTTAGGTTTTGTTTCTCTATTTCCTCATCTTTGTTGCCTTGGTTTGAATTCACCAAATTGTTCATATTTCCTTCTGCTTCGTAACATTGGTCTTATAATCGGGATCGCCATCAATTTTGAATAGGAAGATACCTGATAGAGTCGCACTTGTTCTTTGTCCCTATGCTTCTTAAGTTGGATACCGTCAGATATCTTACCGTCAGATATCTTACCGTCTAGAATTGAGGACAACCTTACAATCATTCGATACATTTCTGTCGGGATATACATCAGAACAAATTAGCGGTGACTTACCGCCAGCGACTGATGGATAACATCCCTTGCTTGGCACATGCATTCTTGCGTGCGCCTCAGTGCTGTGACCGCCGAGGCCCGGTATCAGGGATTCGGGGGTGTTTTCCAAGTAGATTGAGAACCTACAGCTATCTACATGGATCAATTGACTTTTGTTTTGCGAGCACATATACATGCTAAGTCAGGGTCTAGCTCGGCGACATGGATGACTGGCTCAATTTACGAAAAGCAAAAAGATGGTAAAGGTTCACTAACGCGTAACAGAGTCGGCGAAACATTTACCTCTTAAAACGCATCATGGCTTGTCAGCCCTGGAGATAGGAGCTCTACCAGCGTTATTCCCAATAGTACGGAGTAGTCAGTGCCACATAAAATACACTAGTAGTCATTGTAATGAGAAAAAAATCACCTGAAGGACAATGCACATGCGATTAGCGGCTTTTTATGACTGACTTATCGGGCTCTCAGTCACTATTAGGCGGCCTATATTCGTGCCTTTCTGCCCGCCCAAACCGCTACCCGGTTTGGAAGCGCCTTGGGTGGGCGGTAGGCACGGATACGGTCTAAGCGCAAGACTGGCTCGCAAAAAGCATTCTTGGATCGCCGAAAGTGTCCCATGACTGAACTACGTCATAACTAGTGACTTTTCTTCACGAATCCGGAGCGAACCTCACCGGGCGATTACGCTATCCGAAATCCCAAGCATTTCCGACCGCGGCAGTAGGTGGAAAACTAAGCCGCTAACCCCAGAAAAGGTGATGATAATGGGTCTCTACTCTTCTGCATCCGACGGGCAAATTAAAGCTCCGGGCCGAGTATAGTTTCGTGCATTACACGCCTTTGTTTAAACTCACAGCTCTCTTCGCTTCATTTACCCAGTAGTTTTTCACCACTCTTACAGAGACCAGGATGCTTTCCATCAACATTCCAAAGCATACTACGCCCGATCAGTATGAATTAGGCGAAGTTCCCTCCCTTACTGTGGAACACCCGACCGACATCTTAATCAAAGTCCATGCCGCGAGTATCAACCCGATCGACGTCAAGAAAGCGGCAGGAGCAACCAAAGCTGTTCTTAAGGACAGGTAAGAGTAATTCTCCTCGGGTATCTTTCTTCAATCTAAATATTCCGGACAGCTTTCCCTACAAAATCGGCTATGATTGCGCCGGCACAGTCCTGAAGACTGGATCCCAGGTAAAGCGTTTCAAAGCTGGTGATGAAGTTTTTGTTCGATTGCCAGAATGTCATAGGGGATCTTGGAGTGAGCTGGCGAGATCAACAGAAGACTTTGTTGCATTGAAACCGAACACTATCTCAATGGAAGAAGCCGCCTCTATTCCTTTGGCGTGTATGACGGCACTGCAGGCGCTTCGGGGTTACGAAGGGACTCTTGAAGGCAAAACTGTCTTCATACCTGCTGGTCGTAAGTTATTTCGGACCTCACTTCTGTGAACCAGATGCTGACCTTTGCACAGTGGGTGGAACTGGTATATTCGCATGCCAGCTAGCGAAGAATATTTTCAGAGCTGGCAAAGTAATCACCACGGTCTCTACCAGCAAGGTGTCCCAGGTCAACAAGCTCTTGGGTGAAGGGATTGTTGATGAGAGTGAGTCGGCTCTATTGCGGTAGCATGTTACACAAAAGCTAACGTTTCTCGACCAGTCATTGACTACAAAAAGTCAGATCCCATGAATGTAATTCCTCCGCGATCTGTTGATTTCATTTTTGACACCACAGGGAGTGCGATGGAGTATCTATCATTGGTGCGCCCAAAGGGAGCCATCGTTACGGTTTCCATACTCACCTCTGGGGATGTGCTCCAAAACTCTAGCGTTATGCGACGGTCGCCAGACAAGCAAGACAAGGCAATCGTGCCATTCCCTATCCGTATTGCCCTAAATGTGATGGATCGGATCCGAAGGGCGCGTGCATCTCGCTACGGGGTCAAGTATTCATCTATCTTCTTGGAACCCAACGCGGCCGATTTAAATTCTATCAGAGAATGGGTGGAAACAGGAATGGTGAAAACGATTGTGGGAACAAAAGCCCACTTCAAGAACATTGAAGCGGTCCGAAATTCATGTCAAGTGGTATATGATGGGAAAGGGGGTATTGGAAAATCCGTGATTGTGTTCGTCTGAGATATTTTTGGACTCATTGAGGCATGGAACCTCCCTTACCTAATCTTCCTTGTGTTATAGTCCCCTATTAATGCTTCTTTTCTTTTTCTTGCCTCCTTCATTTATACAGGTGTATGTTGTGAGCTCGACCGGCCGAGGGTTTACTGGATTTCCCTTCGGCTTGAATGGTGAACGGACTATCATGGATAAGAATGATAAATATCTTCGCTTTTGAGTGTGCGTTTGGCAGGAGGAGCTTGGCTTTCTAGTCTCCCCTGGGTCTGGATGATGCGAACCTATCTCCGGAGCGCTAGTATCGTTCCGGCCATCATCTGTTCGTATCCCCCACCTGTACATGACCATGTTGAATATATGTGCGGGCATATTAACCTTCAAGTTTGATATTACACACTGACGGAAATTTCTAGACACACATCCTTTTTGCAATAAAGATGACATAAATACCGAGGCACATGAGATATGTTAGTGAAAGGTGCAATTGTAGAATATATAGAACGGTTTTTCTGGTTTGAAATGAGAGAATAGTACATACTGTACCGGAGGAATAACACTTATGCCGCTTAGTGGTAAAATCGGAGATAGCTTTTCAATATAAGATAATTGTGAGGGAAAGCACCTATGGTCTTCATCCTTCGTAAATGCCCGATTTACGAAGAGTCATAGAAGAAGCTCTTGATCACACGATCCTCATTGAGATACCGCCCCCGGTGGCAACTACCGAGAACCTTAACATTCTGACACTATTATCCGCAAGATATGTAATACCACGTATTGCCTTTGCTATCCTGTTTCTATTTCTTGCATTAGAACTAAAATCTTCTCAAATCATTCAAGTATTGATCTAGACCTGAACTAATCGGCTTCTGTAATTCAGAAATCATCGTGCCAGTCATGCAAGGTCCATTCAAGGACAATCAAATGTCTGACCCCGGTGGCTATTCGCCAATTCTAAGCCACTAGGCCCGAGAGTTAGTGAATGAAACAAAATTATTCATTCACCCCATTTTCCTCTTACTGAACAGAAGTTAACTATAAATTGCAACGCAGAATTGTGAAAAAAGTCATTCCAATAAGCAGAACGTAGATTTAGCCTGAAAAGAAAAACAAGACTGACATCAAGGATATGCCATGATTCTTTGGGGACTTCTTCCAGCCATCTTGATAGCCGCCTCGCCTCCACAAAAAGACCACTTAGTATTCCAAGAGAAATTCAGCTCCGTAGCAACTCACAACATCTCTTCCGGAGAACAATTGCATTCTTTGGCTATTTCACGCTGACCTGATTTCGTCGTGGTATAGAAAGCTGAAACTGAAAGTTCGATCGCACTGCATTGGTTGAACCCATCCCTGGTTCACTTTTTGGTCTCCAAGGACATTTCAATCTCATTCGCCACTTTTTCATAAACCTTTTGCCGCAACTTTTTCTCCTCTTCTGTCTTCGCTAAGTGGTCCCAATAGTGGGGTACGTTTTCAATAGTCTCACAGCTCACTTGCTTTCCCACGGACTGCAGTCTAGCTGCTGCTGCTTCACCTTCAGCCAACAAGGGATCTAAGCCCGCAAGTTTCAGGGTGATCCGGTTCGGTAAAGCCATTTTCATCACATCCACAGGGGCCAGTCCCGGAGAGATGTATATTTGATGTTTGTCTGGCATTGGTTGCATATTCCAGAAGTAAGCTCGGTCAAAGATGTCACCGATGAGCTTGGAAGATGATGCAGGCTTTTTCTTCAGCGCAACAAACGCTGGGTTCGAGGCAGCACGCTCATCTCTGGATTTGGTCAGATCCATTGGTGGATAAAATGCAGTGATGCCCTGAACTGTGCCCAATGCCGCAGGATCAACTCGTGGGTCTGTGTCCTGCAATGCTTTCCATAGCATGAATAGCGAAGCAAATGCCATCTGACCACCGACACTGAAGCCAGTGAGGACTGTGCGATGTTTGTCTAGCCCGATTGCTGCAGAATTTCTCCAGACATAGAGTATGGCATCAAGGCAATCCGCCACGGGAGTAGGATATGGGTGCTCGGGTGCGAGACGATAGTCGACTGCTACGACAAAAGCTCCGCGTTCTGTAAGCGTAGCGATGAAGCGTTCGTCATGGCGAGCATTTCCGACACACCAGCCTCCTCCATGAAAGACAAAGACAATGGGGTGCTGCGCTTCTTTTGCAGATTCTCGGGTGTAACCAGGGGGATAGTAAAAAAAGATATCAAAATTGCCAGGTGAATTTGACAGAGTCGATGGGATGGAAGCTCGGGAGCTCGGAGTGAGTAATGAAGCGGGACTTCTTTTCCGATCCAGCCAAGCAAGGAGCCATGTTAGACACCTCAAGATGCGCAACTTGATGAAGAATGTGACCGAACCCATCGCAATTGCTTTGTGATGATTTGCTTTTGGAATTGCATTCAAAACTAGCTGGCATGAAGTGTTGGTTTGGAAAGGGAAGATGAAAATATTTTTGCCCAGCGTGATGGCATATGATTTGTGGATATTTTCGTTTCGACATGTGCCCATTCAACTCAATTGTATATTGGATAACGCAGGACGGAACTAAGGGTTTTCTACCGAGGCAAACACTCGACAGGAGTTTAGTAAAATGGGGCCGATCGAAAAGTGGAGATTGTTAACCTCCAGCATTGGGGGCGCCCACTCCCTAGTAACGGATAGTTTGTTGCTCCGAAAATCGAATAACAGGTAGACACTACCGCAAACAGTGACTTTGCCGGCAATAGCAACCGATCGTCCAATAAGATTATACCCACACAACCTCGATATCGACTGTTACGCAGGGACGATGACACGAAGACTTTGTCCCGACACCTCTTGTCACCACTGACGTCAACGTTTTGGGACTGCTACGGGCTCGAACTGCCTTCTCTAATTATAAGGCCAAGAGCTGATAAAAGAACCTGTCTGTTGCTTTAATCGTTCGTAATATTTAAAAGAGCAGAAAATAGTTAGTACGTGGGCAGCTCCCAAACAGACCAAAATGATGGATTAGCACGACGTAGTAGATGGAGGACATGATCATCTTAGGATAGCTCGGTTCATCGCAGGCTTACTATCAAAAATCAAACTAGCCTTGAAATGACTGCGCAGACGTGCAAACACGTATCACTAGCTTTCCAAGCCCTCCTCGCCCAGAGTAAATTACATCACAAGCCTTTCGCACAGCTTCAGTATCTCGGATATCAGCGATAGTTCCAATTACTGTTCTGAGTCTCCCATCTTCGATATACTGTTTCAGTTCATCCAAATCCTTTCCGGTTGATTCCAAAAATAGGTAGGAATACTCGGTCTCATAACGATGTGCTCTGACTTTTCGAATTTGATCAAGCAGGTTAAGACCCATTCGAAAAGCAAATGGGACAGTCGGCCGATGAGCCAAATCCATGAGTGGTGAATCTTGCAATTGATTACCAGAGGGCATAGTTGAAACTGATACGATACGACTGGATCCAGGTCGCATCAGACACAGGAGCTCCATGGCAAGGCCCGCTGTGTCGAAGAGAAAGTCCACTGTTCCATGCTCAATAACGTCTCTAGGGTCGAATTTTGTGTAGTCGATCACTTAATCCCGGTTAGGAATACTATGGTGAAAAGTGAAGAATGGATGGAAAACTTTACCCTCATCAACAGTATTTTCCCCCAATAGTTTTTTTAATTTCGGGATTTTTGCCGTAGAGACCGTGGTTATGACCTTCCCAGCACGAAACACATGCTTTGCCAATTGGCACGCAAATAAACCTGTGCCGCTCACTATGCCGATGTTAGCACAGCCGATATAGGAAAGGAATACTAGAGGAGGCTAACATCCAGCGGGTACAAAGACAGTTTTCCCGGAAAGATCACCACGATATAGCCGAAGAGCCTGATGAGCCGTCATTGCCGCCAGTGGAATCGAGGCTGCTTCCTCGAAAGACAAGCAGGGCGGTTTAAGGGCAATGTGCTCCTCTAAACATCTGACAAATTCACTGCATGATCCTAAATTGTGTTTCAGTAAATAGGATAAGTGTTTTTGGCCACTATCTATATTTACCTCGAGAAATTTCGGGCAACTTGACGTAGACTGCATCTCCAATATTGAACTTCTTCACATCTCTTCCGGTCTCGGTAATGATGCCGGAACAGTCATAGCCGATTTTATACGGAAAGCTGACCTGGTCAATACCGATGGGATCAATTATAAGTGTATATACTCACGGATCTTCCACTGCAAGTTTCAGAGCCCCAGCGGCTCTTTTGACGTCAATTGGATTAATGCCAGCGGCATACACTTTGATGATCACATCTTTTGAGTTGGTGAGACACGGCTTGGGTAATTCTGACACCCTGTATGCTGATGGCTTTGAGTAACGTGATATATTGAGAGACAACATTTCCTTTTTGGGCTGAAATCGTACGTGGAAAAGAAAGAAAGGGAGATTAAGAAGATGGCAAATATAAAGTGTGGCAATCAGCAAAATTTGATAAGGCAGGCGGTGAGTCAGGATACGATACCTCTGATCTAATTTCAATAGGGTGGCTCGGTAGATCACTGCCACGGAGCAATATTCAGCCGGTGCGCAATCGAACTAGATGGTCTTGGGCTAATCCAATGTCACTGTAAAATAACCCCGCTTCTGCTCGGTAATTGACTAACTTTGATGAATGACGTCATAACTTGCTCGAGCTGGTTATAATACGGCTGCAAGCGAACACACTCGCACCTTCTTTCGAACTATCCTTTGCAACACCATTCGCAAAGAACTTCTTGAATCTGAGACACTCAAGAAAGCAATCATGCCATACCTGAAACTTCGAGATGGAGCCGAGCTCTACTACAAGGACTGGGGCAACCCGGGAGGGGCCATCGTCACCTTCTCCCACGGGTGGCCCTTGAGCAGTGACAATTGGGAAAATCAAATGATGTTCCTTGCTGATCACGGATACCGTGTTATTGCGCACGACCGACGTGGTCATGGTCGATCTACTCAGACCTGGGACGGGAACAACATGGATACCTTTGTTGATGACCTGGAGGAGCTCTTTACCCACCTGAGGGTCAAAGATGCAGTGATGGTTGGCCACTCGCACGGTGGAGGAGAGGTCACCCATTATCTTGGAAAGCATGGCACAAGCCGCTTCAAGAAGGCCGTTCTGGTCGGTGCCGTGCCCCCCCTGATGGTAAAGACCAGTGTCAACACCGAGGGGACTGATAAGTCTGTTTTCGATTCGTTCCGAGAGGCAATGCGAAAAGACCGGGCGCAGTTCTTCTTGGATGTCCCCAGCGGACCCTTCTTTGGATTCAACCGACCTGGTGCACAGAAGAGCGAAGGGCAAATTCGTAGCTGGTGGCAGCAGGGGATGAACACCAGCTTCAAGTCAGCATACGACTCCATCAAGGATTTCTCGGAAACGGATTTCACGGAAGATTTGAAGAAGATCGATATTCCGGTGCTGGTTCTGCATGGGGATGATGACCAAGTTGTTCCTATTGAGGCATCTGGACTCAAGTCAGCAAAATTGCTGCCACAAGGGACATTAAAGGTTTACAAAGGAGGCTCTCACGCCATTCACAACATTAATGTTGACGAAGTTAACAAGGATCTTCTCAATTTTATCAGGTCCTAAATTGATTTTCCAGTCTTGATATTGAGGGTAGCTCGAAATGGACTATTGTGAAATTAACAGAATAGGAATACGGACAATGTCTTCTTATTGTATTCAATTCGCTGAACATGAAATGCTAAACATGAGGTCCAGCAAAAAGATGCCGCCGGGTATAATAATCGGTCGATATCTCTGATACTGCAGTTTCGTGGGCTTTTATTCGCCATAGATTAAGATCCAAAATCAATAAAAGTTAAAAGGTATATTCATGACTTAGTCCCTAGGTCTGGATGTTGTTTGGCCTTTTACGCAAGTATTTTTTAAAATCGCGATTGTAATACCGAACTCAACACCGACTTCCAATGTTAACTCTAGTCACTATCGTCATAACAATAGTTGACGTAATATCTATGCTGAATTTCCGACCCAGCTATAAACAATCACTAAGTAACACTTCCGCACAGAGGATAGAGAGGAATGCTCTCGCTTTGCGGCTAGAGACGTTGACCGAGGGTATCTGCTTCACACTAAGGATCAAATATAAAACCGTAAGTTATGAAGTGTCTCTACTGCAAAAGACTAGAGCTATATTTCTGTATCTATTGCTACATAATGTTCTAAAAATCGGAAATATATTGTCAACAACTTTATTAGTAGCGGGTTAATTATCAGCCGAGAGAATAGAATCACTTCCTAGAGGGATATCCATGCCATTCCAGCCCAATATAACATCAGGCACACAATCAAGCAGTTATAGGAATTTAATAGCATCGAATTCTCTATATGCGTGAACATGTTTAGGGAGCCTCCCCGAATATGCGCCGTTTCCCTCTTTTTCGGCATTGCTAGTCTCAAACTCATTAATCCTAGAACTTCAAAGAGGTGCGAGTCATATTCAAGTGTTCAACATGTACAATACCTAGGGGTAGCGACAGGAATAACGTCGCTCAGGGCTAGCAATTACCCTCTGGGTTGATAGATCAAGTCCCTACTGCTAGTATTCTTGGAGAGCACTGTCTGTGACTCGTGATAGTGCGAACCCACTCGTCTCTTCTAGGAAGTACCGAAGGTTATATAGTCTTTCTAACTACATTCACCGTAATATCTAGGTAGTCCATGCGCTGGCTAAGTTACTAGGCTTCATCTTCAAACATTCATTTGTCATCATCTGTCGAAGGGTTTTCTCGGTCACTATAGCTCAGGGGCCACCGTGTAAGTTACCTGGTATAATCCCTAGCCCGATTCGACGTACGAGGTCAACTGATACCCAATCACGAAGAACTCGCTGTAGGATTTTCCCCAAGTGGCTTTTGGGATCCTCCTTAGTGAAAATGATATATTTCGGCGGATCCGATTGCATCAAACAAGACTGCTACTAGCGTTGGTTCTAAGTTATGCTTTGTGTTTATTTGGCGATACTGCTTCCGCTATAATTCCAAAGGAAGGCTTTAATTGTCCTTGTCTCCGGAGGTAAGGAAAGGAGAGTCAATGTAGTATGGGCTTTTAAAGCCCAACTTTGTCCTCGTACTCATTGATTGGAATGATGTAATGACTCCTAATTTGGGTCTCATTCTAAAGAATCACTGAATTCGTAGCTCAACAATATCAATATTCAGTGGGAATACGATGGTTCGCGTCCATAGAAGACTTCCTTAGTCTGCCATATCGTTACGGGGAGAGTTGTTGCCTCTTACGGTAGACGTTGTGGGTCTTGCCACAGCACCTGTGGAAAAAAGAGGGTCGCACTAGTGAGTCGTGACGCATGACGGAGCAACTAACTATCCGGCCCCAGCTTTATCAGCTCCACACCGAACTCAAAATCCGCTGCATACTACATACAATGTAGACCTTGTCCTTGCGAAGGTTTCCCGCGGCTGATTGCCTCGGTAAAGAAGCTCGCCATCGTCACCTACCTTTATCCAGTGCTTGAATTTAGCTGTGCAATCTCCCACATATCACAGGTCCATCTACAGAAAGATCCTAGTTATCACCTCTTGCGAGCCCGTGAAGAGGCACAACCACTTTCATCGCTCACTGCACATATCTGACCAGCGAGCCAATCCTGGCTTTTGCGTGAGAATACTGCCACCACATGGCTTCTGCCGCTTCATCGAATACCTCTACTTCGTATGTGACCATCAGGTTTAGTTTAACCTAGACATCCTACTGACTCTCTCGATAACAGGAGTAGACGCCCTCAGGGCCCAACAGTTCAGGTCGAATTTGGAGGCCAGAAGGTCGATGTACCCAAAGGCGGATACTACGATCGTTATCGTATGAATCCGAACCTGGACGAGGTAGCCCGTGATCCGGCAGTTGGACCAGACATCGCCTTTTTCCGACAAATCCCGAAGGAGTTAGTCGATTCGAGAGTTGGCCAGGTATACGCACCCAACTTCTACTACCGTACAAAGAGTGTACAGCTTCTCTTTCTCGCGTCCCTTGACAACTTGAAGTCGAAGCTCCCAGCACCTTTGGAGCCCATCACTGCATTGCCTGGATATGGATTGGTGGCTTTGACGTTTTACTCGTATCTCGTCTGCGACAACGATCCTTACAACGAGGTCTCTATCGCCGTTATCGTCCGCCAGCCGGGTAAAGGAAGTTACAGTACGACCCAATTGTTCAGCTCTATTTGGAATCGAACCTTCTATGGATACGTTTTGGCTCTGCCTGTCGATACCGAGATTGCTCGAGTACGTGGTGTCTACGGATACCAACTACCTAAATGGCTCGCCAGTATCAACTTGGAGATGGACGAAAACAATATCAAAGCTGACATCACTGCGACCGATGGAAAACTCGATCTGGCACTGGATGTGCCCCTTCCAGCGTTGAAAACAATCCCGTCGCAATCTTCAATTGTCAGTAACAATGCAATCAACAAGATCGACGAGAAATGGTACCAGGTGACAGTTCAGACAAACCCACTTCTTGGGGCACAACGTGTCTTCCCTCGGAACGTCAACGTCTATCGGGGCAGAGGTCCGCTGAGCGAACTTCTTAATGAATTAGGCGCCTGGACCGTCTTGCGGATGGACGTACTAAAGGATGCACAGATGGTCTTGCATATGCCAACATCCTTAAAAGCTTTTGATGACAACAAGCTATAAAGACCATCATTTGACGATTTCTCGAGGCGGGCCACAGCGACGCGAATAGCACTGTCCAATTCGCCGCGGATGAGGTTGTTGACAATGAGTTAAGGTGTAAATAGCAATTCCCCCCAGCTGCTGTATTTGATTTTATACAAGGTTGTTCACAACTCCATTTTGCGCATGGTATGACCTCTTGAGGTCCCACGGGGTGGAAGCCTCCGTGCAATGGCTATTCCCCGACGCTCATTAAACATTTAGGTCTTGTATTTATTCCACCCCATTGTATACATACAGAACTAAAAACATATACATAACAGCATAAACAATGGCACAATCCTTCATTCTCCTATTCATTACTACCCAGTAGGCTCTGGTGGGTTTTATATGCTATCGGACTGCCAAGACAAGAAGAACAATAGAATTTCAGATGGACAGAATACCCCTATGCGCCAATGGGTGACGTCATCATGACTGGCCGAGGGCGGTGACTACCTTCTTCGCGGTCTCTTTTGCTGACCCCGGATTCTGTCCAGTCACTAGATTGGCGTCCACCACCGTGTAAGACACAAAAGGTAGCCTGGCCTTTTTATAGAGCGCTCCACGCTTCTTAAGCTCTTCTTCGGCGTTGTAGGGCACAAGTTTGTTCACACGAGCAAGTACTTCCTCCCTCCAGGTGAACCCGGTCATATTACGCCCGGCGACAAGGTATGACCCATCTGAGAGCTTTGTGTTCAGGAGGCCGCAGTAGCCGTGGCAAACAGAGGATACGACACCGCCCCGTTCGAAAATATCCCTGGTAATTCGCTGCAGGCCCTCATTATCCGGGAAGTCGTACATGACGCCATGCCCACCAGTGAAGTAGATGGCGTCAAAATCGGCCGAATTAATCTGGTCAGGTCGGACAGTGTTTTCCAGCAGTGACATTCGAGCTGGATTTGCCGTCCATGCTTTGGCTGTCTTGTCGTAATTGGGGAATTTCAGCGACCGCGGCTCTAATGGAGACAGACCCCCCGACGGACTAAGGATGGTCTGCTGGAATCCATTCCCCTCGAAGACGTCCCAAGCGTGGGTGAGTTCAGCTAGCCATAAGCCGGTAGGGTGATTTGGGTCGTCATAATGAGCGGTGTTGGTAACAACATGTAGGATACGCTTAGCCATGCTTGGCATGCCTTGAAGCGTAGTGATGTGCGAGTGGAAGAGGGCAGCACGTATGGCGCGATAGTAGTACAGTATCGTCCGGGCAAGTTCGGCGTCTTGTCTCTCTTTGACGCAGCTGAGGGGATTTAAGAGCTTATGATTTAGAATGGAAGAGAAAGAGCATGTCACGAGACTGCTTTACTCCGACTGACCAGACCTATCAGATGATCCGCCTTGAAATATCCTAATTAGACAGCCATGGAAGCTCAATGATTACCTAAGGAGCGGGAGCGGGAGGACAAACGATCCGGTTTGTCCAGATGCGGCTGCCCCTAGTGCGCCACAACCTTAAGTAGTCTGCTTGTCTGCCAAATGCCGGGTATTTGCCTCGGTAGAAGGTGACTACTGTCATCGTGTTCCTTTCGGTGCAACAATCAAGCCGAAAATGTGCAGACTAGCCTTTGCCACAGAATTGCCACAAATCTACAAGCACCGATTCTAGTCGTCTCAGTAGAGCAAAAGCGCTGTCACGTGTTGCCATAGCCGCATCTGCATTAGAGATGTCCGCCTTTATGAATTCAGCCATGATAATTGAAAACCTGGATGGATGTAAGTTAACGCTTCTCAATAATCTGAGGTAAAATGCAGTGTGGTACCTGGATAGAGTTCTTGAATGGGTCAGTCTTCTGATCAGGGTAGGGGGTCTGATACGGTAATTTGAGGGCTGGAATCCTCAACTTTATATCTTTCAATCTTCCAGTTTTGGCACACTTTGGGGGCAGTAAAATAGCTCGACACCCTAGGAGCTCAAAAAATTCTGAGCAAAGAAAACCAGAGATAGCTTACAGCGTAGCAGAGTAAGATAGGACCCCCGGGTTCCCAGGAGCAATGTAATCGGAACAGTAATACTCATTTTAAAAAAATTGTAAACCAGGTTTTCTGAAACATGCGCTCAAAGGCAAGATAATGAACTTGGCACTCTCGCATTGGACAGTAATTATCGAGCGGACGATTACTCAGGGCAGGTATTCTAGTTTAGAGCAGACTCGTCCAAAGGTATCAAGACTAATACTACCCTGAGAGGCCCATTGTAGAGCCAGTAGACGTGGGGTTCCCAGGAGTATGTAGTTTAATTGATAGTGTGATCAACCAATAGGATTCATTGTGGTGCAATGAATAGCAGCAAGCGTCCAGGAGACCAACCGCCTATCGAAAATGATTGCGGGCTTCGTGATTCCAGGCCGCCTGATAGGTAACATGTACATTGCCGCATGGTCGCATAATGTTATTAGTAACACAGTGAAAGTTATAATAAGTAGTTATTTTCGCCCGGGTTTTTAACATAGCAACCATACGGAATAATCTTAAGAGCTCCTTTGATCTTCTTCAGCTTTATAAAGCCGAAGGGCTAACTGGCTATTAAAATCTACTTCATTATAATCTGCTTTATTTCTCCCTTGGTATAGCCTCAAATAGACAGATACTGTAGGATATCTAGCAGATAGTGTATCAGTGCTATGGACCTCAAGACGCGTGAGGGCCGCCGCTCTTTGAGGAGCAACCGTGAGCCAATCGTTCTACGATTTAGAATTATCACGTGCTCTTCCCTATCACTGGCCTCCCAAATCTCCACTACCACGCCATCGAATAATTAATAGAGAAGACGTTACCTATCAAGAAATGTATATGAATTGGCCTTTATTTCTATGCCACTTCAAGGATCAAGTGCGGGACATATCAAGGGAAAGTGCATTTTGACCTGCGGCAAGGTAATTCGGACAGTATTCACATGATATTCGACCCACTGCATTGCTAGGCACTGATAAGCGTACAGAAACTGAAAAAATTCCAAATTCAGAAAAGAATAGCCCCTTGTTAGTTCAGCACATCCATCTGGCTCACGGTTCAAATATTGCCCCCGAGGATTCGTACAGTGAGATACGCGACTAAAGAACGCGGTTAGAAATCATTCGATAGGTGTAAGATTTCTGTAAAGCGGCATGGGTGGCCTGAATACCCACAAAGAGGCAGTTCCAATCATAGTGGAGCACAAAAGCGGGGACCAAGATCTTCCGTATGTCTCCAGAACTCGGTGAAAATTGAGGAAATGGGAGAGCGCAAGCTGTGAAAAATCGAGCAGGCTGGAAAGATGTAATGACGACAACCGAGAAAAACTGAGGGGAGTTGAATCAGAATAACGTCGCAGGTCACTGCTATTGCTATCACAGCAGATCCGAAGCTAGTGCAGAGCTAGAATAAAAACAAAGGGCATATATCTGGGGAGTAGGAAAGATATCGACATCGAAGCGAGAGCTTCCACAAGATATGAGGAAGAAAAAGAAACACACAGAGGTGTACACAAAGTTGAGATGGCATCGAGGGAAATGGATATTGGGACAGAATAACTTTAGCACAGAGAGGGAGGGCTCTACTCACTTGCAGCAATAATGAGAGCACGTCCTGCACCGGCCTTGCCGCTTCCACCTCCCAGAGTTAAAACATAGCGTAGCCAACCGGGTCTCAGCTGTTGACCTTGGCGGTCAAAATCCGGCACTAAGTTGTTGGTAGCTTTGACCTTGTTAAGCTTACTACCATACGGCGGGTAGCGGACAGAAAGTATAGTTTCGAGCCAGCTTGGGCTGCTTGTTATAGGCCGTCGGTGCACCCAAACATCGAAACTGGTACGGCCGCGGTATGCGCCATGGCCGCTTTCGCCGACACCACCGAAGGGCAACGTGGGTATATGGAGGGCGGCGTCATTACAAGAGACACCCCCGGATCGAGTGGAGGAAATTACTAGATATCAAATCTGTTAGAAAGGAATATCTGTTGGGTCAGGTGAAATTGGAGATACTTTTAGCCACATCAGTCTTAGAGCCGAAGGGATAGAGACCGAGCGGAGTACTCTGCACCTCGTTGGCGAGCCTGATGGCCTCATCTAAATCCTGGACGGGTAGAATTGGAATGAAAGGGCCAAAGCTTTCCTCTGTGCAAAGGGAGTCCTCAATGGAGTTTACCTGCACCACCGTGGGCTCAATAAAGAGATCATCCTCGTCTAAGGTGCCTCCAAGCAGAATCTCGCCCTTGCTGTTGTCAAGCATGGACTTGAGGCGCCGGAAATGTCCCTTATTGATGATGCGTGAGTAGTCCGGGGATTTCTTAGCACCATTGGGGTAGAAGCTCTTATAAGCCTTCTTGAACTCCTCCACTACCTGAGGGAAGATGGTCTTATCGACAAGGAGGTAATTCTGCGAGGTGCATAGTTGACCAGCGTTCACGGTTTTGCCCCAAAGCATACGACGCGCGACTAAACGCGGGTTAGCCGTTTTGCTGACTATAGCCGGGTTAATGCCGCCTAGTTCGAGGACCACGGGAGTCAAATGAGGCGCCGCTGCCTTAGCGATAATACGGCCAACATTAGCACCGCCTGTGAAGAAAATCTTGTCCCAGCGCTCAGACAAAAGAGCTTGAGTCTCAGGTACACCGCCCTGGACAATGGAGTAGCAAAGGGGGTCAAGCGACGCCTCGCAGATCTTTTGAATAATAGCTGCGCTGTGAGGAGCATTTTCAGACGGCTTGATAACAACGGTATTGCCAGCAGCGATTGCACCAATAACAGGTCCTAAAGTAAGCTGAAATGGGAAATTAAAGGTACTAGACACCATTATCAAAAATTTTAGACATTCTTCCGTCCCCGATTTGGATAGAAAGGAAACATACCCGATCACCAATACGCAGCCGAGAGGATCCTTCCGAATCTTGGGACTCATTAACTTGAAGTGGAGGTCAATGTCGGGCGCCTTTTCATCTTTCGCCCACTTATGGAGGTTGCGAGTAGTAAAGACGATGTCGTTGAGTAACCAATCGATTTCGGCGAGTTCTGTCTCAAACTGCGGCTTATTCAAGTCCAGAGCGCAGGCTCGGATTATATCATCTTGGTGGTCTTTTATGCTAAAGAGATGTCAACTTTTTCCTCTTTATGAAGAGCCTTTCATTCTTTTCGTAGGAGCATCACTCACGCCCAGTAAAGCTTTCGGAGCTGGATGAGACGAAACTCGATATCACGTGTTCTGTGCTCCAGAAATGATTTGCGGGTGGCAGAGATACGTGCAGCGATTGCTTTGAGTGGGGTGGATCGAAAATTCGGAATCTGGTCATCCATCACTGTGATAGGGGTAGGTAGAACAGGCAAGTTTGTAAATAGAGATGTGATGGTAAGACCGCGAGGATAATTGACAACTTGCCGAGAATGAGCGACAAGCGAATGTTATTTAAGCTTCTCACGTTCAAGCCATGAAGTCCAGCCGTTAAGAGCCGCCGTACGAGAGGATACAGGAAATTTCTGCATCCCAGCGCCGGGTTTGGATATCCGCGAAATATTGAACCCATGGGATGACAAACATTGTGTCCCTTCGGCATAATTGTTGCGCCGAAAAGAAAACAAATTCGCAATTCCCAGCTTCTACCGAGGTAACCCCTAATAGATGAGCAATCAGGTTGATCGACATTTGATGAAAATTTTGTGATGTGCCTGGATTGCGATAACGTAATTCCCGGGGCCCATTATCATTATGCTATACAGCCAGCGGTAATTGTTGAAATATCACGTTGAAATTTTTGTTTTTTAATGACATTTTACGTTGATTAGGGTAACAAGAAATTATGTTCACCCGCATGGTTTTCACGGCCTGACTCCCAAGCCATTAAACTTTTTTTGGTTGCCGAGGTTATAATTTTAATTACTGTGCTCTTGGGTCGATTCGTCTAACTTACTTGGACGATCATTGTCTCTGATGTTCTCCATCTCCACTTTTCTGAAATACAAGCCCTTCTCTCTAACTTCCCATTTCACAGCCGTATTAACGAAAGATGTACACCCCTTTTGTATGATATAATACTGTACTAATTTTTGTGCATCATGTTATGGATGGCAGGCACGGCTAAGCTTCCATTAGAATAATGTCCCACACGATGATGTCGATTCATTGCGCTTTACTGTCTCGTGGCTATTTGAACTCTGCCCGCAAGATACCTCTCGGAGGTCGTGGCGAGCCCACCATAGACATCCTCCTTTAGAGCTGCGGTTTTTGGAATTCCCAAGATGTGGAAAGCGCTCAAAGGGTAAGGACTGATCCTGCATGAATATCACTGTTTGAGAACACTGTACGATTTGACCACGGGACTCCATGAGTGCCTCCTAAGAATAAGAACGAGCGCTGGCTCTGGTCCTCTCTTAATTCGCGGTTTTTTAGATAAAAGGGACAAGGAAGTACCTACGAAGCAAACCTCACAAACTAACAATTCTAACTCAAAATCCTACACAAGACCTAAACACCAACGCCGGAACATAATACAACAGCCTGTAGTAGCCCTGTCAGCTTATCCTCCACCATGTTATTTTGAATCTACAATGGAAGGCCGACCTCTTCTTTTCGTTGAAAAAATTGATCAAATGATTTGAGCGCAATAAATCTTTATCATGGTTCAGCCACGCGAATCAGTACCTTGCCTCTAGCTCTCCCTGAACATAGCCTGTCAAATGCCTTCTCAGCATCATCAAAGCTATACTCGCTATCCACATTCACCTTCAAGGTTCCCTTTTGCAACATATCACCAATGGCGACAACATGCTCTTGCGTGTTAGCAAAGAAGAAGATCTGATATCTTCTCTTCCCACCACCGCAAAAAGATGGCCATCCAGCCCTTCCCATAAACATAGATCTGCTTGATCCCCCAACCTGTACAAATACTCCCCCATGCTTCAGGAAGTGGTGACACTGGAAGTAAAGATCATAAGGAAGTCCGACATGATCGAGAATGTGATCATAAATCACTCCTCGTTTTCGCAGCGTAGAAACCAAATCCTCTTCAGAGGTATAATCGATGACGTCGTCCGCCCCCATTGCACGACATAGCTCCACATTCCTTGTCGAGCACGTGGTTGTAACGTAGCATCCTATATTCTTCGCAATCTGAATTGCAAATAATCCACAGCCCCCGGAACCACCGTTAATAAACACCTTGTCGCCCGCTTTCACATAGCCACTTAATGATTGCAACGCACTCTGGCCTGCGATCCCAATCGAAGCCGCATCTCTCACGCGCACGCAATTTGGTAAGGCCGCAATCAACCCTGCTGATACAGTCATGTACTCGGCCAGGGACCCAAATTTAACAGGACGACTATGGCACCCAAAGACGAGTTGGCCGGCTTCAAATTGTGTCACGTCCGAACCCGTCGCCACAACGCGTCCGCAGAAGTCCATCCCCGGCGATGCGGGTAGACCGATTATCAGCTTTGCAGCTAGGCCAAACGCGATAGTGGGAACTTTGTAGTCTGCTGGGTTGAGGGATGCGACAAGCACCTGAACAAGAACCTCCTGGGGGCTTGGCGAGGGGAGAATTCGGGATGTGTCGAGGTGGATGTTTTTCTTAAGACCGCCGGTTGTACTGTTGTACAGCCATGCTTTCATTGATGTAGGGATTTGATTGGACATTTTGATTGAAGTGGACGGACGAGGAGCTTTCTCTATTGACGTCGTACAATTTTTCTTCTGACAGAGAGACCGTTGTTGTTCAGGTCTTATTTCTGTGAGTTGAAGTGAAATTGGGAAATATTAGGTGTATTTTATGATAACATGATTAATAATGCTCGAATAACTAGTTATCCAGATTGCCAGGATGATTGCATAATCGCTGGTCCGAGCCGGGTGAATAGACAGTCCGTTATCCACACGAATAGCTGACTACCTCAATCAACCTCGGGAGAAAATAGAATACAAATATACCTTTGTATTCTGCGCGGAGCTTAGATTCACAGAATAATCGCTGATGTTTACGCGGGAAGATACGTCTATAAAGCCGAATAAGCTTTAGGCAATTCCAGGCCCATATATCTTCTTGACCTAGATTTGAAGTGTCAGATCTGTTGAGAATTCTATTTCGAACCAATCACACTTGATTGGCTTTCAATATATTTCAACAAGTTAAGCGAAAAGGCAGAACCAGGCGGAATATACGATGAGATGGTAGATTGACTAAAAAAAAGAACGACTATAATGGGAAAGACTTGTTGGATTGTTGACACACTGTTAAGGGTGGTGCTGACAGACCGCGATGCAGATTCCCGGGTACTTTGAAACTGTTTCTAGCCATTCTTTTATTACGGCATGTCAGGTGAGCACAGGTACTGCGCCACCTTTTGGTTCTACAACGGTAGCATTGTCGTAGCAATGCGGTGGCCAATAACGTATTTCCTTGGCGACCCGGCCACCCCAAAACACTAACATTTCATAGGTTAATATTTTAACATTCGAAGCGAATTATCATATCTTAAAATAACTTGATATTTATTAAACTATAATACGTGTTCTCCCTGATGTAGGAATATTTTAGAGTGTGATAATGTAGAGACGTATATATATATACATCGGTCTGTCGTAGCGTATATTCGGTATTACTTGTCAATAATAATGTTGTGAATATATTAGCTAGGCTCTACCAATATTAATAATCACAAGACATTCTCTACTAAGAATCAAGTAAGAATAACATACCGTTGTTAATATATAATGACCGAGAAATTTGTCTTTAGTATAGTGTTTTGGGGTGGCCGGATCGGCTAGGAAAAATGTCAGTACTTTTAGTGCGTGGTAAGCTGCCAGTAATTCCCTATCATATGCCTCTGACTGCTAAGCTCCTCGAGAGGTTTTTAAAGAGAAATAACTTACGCAGAAGCGCACACAGACATATGAAGCAGAATATATAGTCAACTTGTTCCCATACTAAAATGCTCTTTCTATTATTAATCAACATGCTTCTGACCCGTTCCGACCATGCGAGGGCTCGCCAATCTTCCAAGAGGAATATCGAGGCATCTATGTACCAAAAGTTATCAAACAGGATATGGCCTCCAGGTTGTGACGCCAGATACTCCATGTGGCAGCGGCCGGCCCAGACAAGTTATACTTCATCGACACCCGGTTCGATACTGAGACTGCAAAGTACGTGAAGGAACAAGTCGAGAAGGCAACTGTGCCGAACCCCGAGGAGTACATCGCCATAGACGAGGTTTCGGTTACGGCGGAATTGCAAAACTCCGTAACTGGCGAAACGACATTCGTGTTTGACCGCCCCTATGCTAGGGCGCTGTTTTCAAAGGGCACAAACAGGCGCAACCCGGAGCTCAAACTGCCTGAGCATGAGCCCGCTGGCGATTGATTGGTGACCTACGACCTGGAAAATCCACTTACGAAACGGGCTGATATGTTCTGCTACGATTTCGGCTGTTACGCCAACCAGACTGCATATGGCAGTCAAATGGCAACTGTCGCACCTGCCGCCGATTAGATGTTTTAAGAAGACAATGTATGTCTCGCACAACGTTTGTGACTTAAGGATTATTGACGAGTTTTGCCTGACATATCAGGCCGTTCAGAAAAACAGCTGCTACTAAATTAAAGTCGATTTGTGAGTTTTCACTGTTGAATGAACTTTGGATTCTCCAAAAAAAGGGTTCAATAAAAAAAGTTGGCTTGAGGTGAAAAAAGCCGATAATTATGATGAAAGCTGATCTGACGAAGGGGTAATTGGACGGATCATACATTGAGCGGACAATCTTGCTCGTCGGGCTTTCACACTAAATGAAATCAATTCAAGCCGTCCGAAATCGGATATTATAACCGAAAAGCTGTTCTGTGGTGAACTGAGAATAACATTGCTGCCCGGGTTGGAGACTTGTGCAGCTCCATTGTCATGTCTACTGGAATAGATAGCTCTGTAGAGAGAGAGGCTCTTCGCCAGCGGTAAAATTATATAACCTATCATATATCATACAGTCATGTTCCATAAGTTTTTAACACAGTACAGTGGCACCGCAAAAGTCTGTGACCCCCCATACTGACCGCCTTCTTAAGATAGACTAGTGTTCGCCAAAACTAGACGTGATGGACCACGCTATATTACTTAAGGTAGCTTTTAGTCCAACATAAGTAGGCGGAGACAAAAGCGGTCAACAAGGGGGTCGAAGACTTTTGCGGCGCCACTGTAGACCCACCTATCTCACCGCTATCACCGCCTACTTAATTTGTTTACATGAGACACAGCTCCCCTTATAATATCACCTTAAAACTACGAAAATTAGAACGGGGTAAGTTTGCTTGACATAATCGAGTCATATTCTTGAAAGCCCCAATGGAATTAGTGAGTGCATACTGATGAATTCAGCTACATCATATCGAATTTGCCGGCAATATTATATAATCCCAGAAAAGTGGGGCTGTGTGTTAAAAACTTATGGAATATCACTGTAATATTGATCAAGAGCAAGCTTGACTTTCTGGATTCGGTGTTTGGATGCTTCGCTTCTCTATTCTGGGCAAGGGCTCTTACTCGGGCTAACAATCTGTCCGATCACGAATGATCCACAGTTTATAGACCAATGAACTTCGACTATCCACCTAGTATTCCGAGAGGTTCGGGGTGGCGTTGCAAGTGGCCTCGGCGAATTCTTTCTGCCACTTTGTTTCACATGGTGCCTAGAGCCACGTTTCTTGTGATATTATTCTTGTTGGCTGCCAGGTGATCCTCACCGTACTTTAATATTTTGAACCAGTTGTGGAACAAGTCGCCAAATACCCTTGGGTCCCGACTATCTTTCAATACAATCGGACGAACAATTCATCCATCTCTTGTTCCGATGTAAGCACGTGGATCCATCCAGTCATGTGATGGCAGCTGGCAGTAAGCTCAGGGCATCGCTCATATTGATAGTAATGGTTTCTCGGGGGTTGGGAGACCTGCAAATTGATGTCCATTCACTCCACAACCTCCGAATGCGACCTATTGACTACCACCGGTCACGTCGAGATATCTAGTCAATACTGGTCACTGCGAAGGAGATGGTTCCACTGCAAGTTGTGCGGACTCACAATAAGTCATTAAAATATCTAGGTGCTAGGCTTGTGGCTATATTTGGTAAGTTCAATGTCCATGCAGATCCCCTCTCTACATCTACAAACAATCTAGCTGATCTTCAAAGTTGGCGGCACAAGTGGAATTGGTCTTTATACTGCTCGGGAATTCGTTCGCCACACTCCCACTCCAACTGTTTACCTTGTTGGTCGCAATGACACGTCTGCGCGCCAAATTATTCAGGATTTGAAGTTGTTAAATAAGGCGGCCGACATCCATTTTATTAAAGCTGACGTATCACTCTTAAAAGAGGTTGATCGGGTATGTGATTTCATTCAGCACGAGGTTTCCCATGTCAACATCCTGTTCCTGACCTGTGGCATCTTCACTCTAAATCGAAGAGAAGGTACGTTTGTTAGGATTCCCTAGATTCCCCGAATCTGACCGCAATCTAGAAACTGTCGAGGGCCTTGACAGGAAATTAAGCCTCCATTACTACGGTCGCATGCGCTTCATCCAGAACCTCATTCCCCATTTAGCCAATGCCAGTCACGTTGGAAACCGCAGCACTTTTCTTGCCCGTGTTGTATCCGTACTAGGTGCAGGCCACGAAACAAAGCTTCACCTTGATGATCTCGACCTGCGAGAACATTATAGTGTCGAGGCTTGCGATGTCCACGCCACGACGATGACCTCATTGATGGTAAAAGAGTTTGCTTTACGATATCCCTCGGTCACCTTTATTCACACATATCCCGGAATTGTGAAGTCTGGAATTGCGCGGGAGGCTGGTCCTGTTCTGCGTCACATTATTACGGCAGCAATGTTTCTTGGTCGGTTATGGATGGTCTCGAAGCAAGAGAGCGGGGAAAGGCACCTCTTTGCAGCGACAAGTGATAAATTTGCTCCAAACACAGAGGCTCGAGTAGGAGAAATCTCAAAAGGTGCCTATTTGCTGAATTGGGACGACTCTGAGGTGGGCAATGAAGCACTTCTTGAGGACTATCTTGTAAATGGTGTCGGTGACACTGTGTGGACCCACACTAAGAAAATATTTAGCGGGGCTTTGGATTACCATGAGACCTAGTTCAATAAAAAGTGAGGCCCGACATTAATGCGACTCGAAAGTACGATCGCTTCTAAGTGATGATGGTCGTCTTACCACCATTATTTTCTCTGTTTATAATTTATAGTGGCATTTCACGTAATGTACACCATGAAGTACAGATGTTTTCCGTAGCCACATGTGCTTGATATCTCTCCCCTGTCCCAGCATCCGATATAGAACTCGTTGTGGTTACAGATCCGGCCACCGTAAGCGTTGAAGGCTTTGGTACTAAATACAACCCTTTCCCAAATTCTGCGCCAGGACTCGCAGGAGCCGTCCTTGTTCGGCTGACAACACAGTTGAATACAGAAAACGGAAGATGGGTAAGGTTTCGTCTCTTGAATCTGAAACAACCCGACTGGGAACGGGTTGGTCGCGTACTGTGGAAGGCAGGCTGAATAAATAAATCCCGCGGGGCTCGATGATTGATTCGGGATAGTACGTTTCATCGGCAAGTGTCTTTGCAAGACGCCTTCGTCTCCTGAGTAGAGAAATTAGTACCCGATAAAGCTTATGACAACGATGACAGATAGAGCGATAGTCGCGGCCCGTACTGAGGCACCAGACCGCGCTAATGCTGGGTGAGTGAACAATAGAGTAGCAGCAGACTCGTACTCGACGTGGCCAATGATAAGAAGGAAACCAATGCAAAATTGAGACAGTAGTATCGGTGTTTGATACTTAAGGTGATGCGCTCGGCTAGGGATAGGCCACTTGGGTCTGCTTCGTTAAATTCGGACAACATTTAAGATAAAGTCAACAGCGATGCCTATAAGAGCGATGCAATATGCTTCAACTTTTGAAGAGCGATGATGCCTAGGCTTCTAGAATATTGTTAATAGGGAAGTTAAGAATATCACCCATGTTTAATATGCAATCACATATAGGTGGCTCATCAACAACATTTGATCCAGCACAAATATCCGAGCAGCATAGCCTTTGCTTTCGCAAATGGAGATGAGATGCAGTCTGAATCAAGTACAAAAATTTGCCATGCCAAGTGCTCTTAGGGAGAAGTCAAACTCCGTGTACGATACTGCCGTTCTAGTCTCACACCTGTTATGAATGATTTGAAGATCTTGGAAAATTGTTCAGTAGTCCATCGGAAGCAAGACTTTTCTCAACTCGTCTTTGCATTATCCCTTTCTGATTCCGCTGCTCACAATCGCTGGTTATTTCAGTGTGTTCCCATAGTTATACAGGCCATTCCTGTTAGCACTGTTTATAGGATAATTTCAAGGCATAAGCGCTAACTTACCACCTAAGCAAGGCGTATACTGTGTGACCTGCTTTCCTTTGTGTTTTGTACATTAATGTGGTATCCTTGGTGCTAATGTCGTCGTAACACTGTGTATCAACGCCAAAATGGGGTATTTCAACCTCTTCCATGATATTCGCTCTTTTCTTCAGTCAGTCAACTGGATCGACTTTCTAATGGGTCCCGCTTGCTCCTTCCTCGTTGCCTATTCGCTCGCCATGAGTACTAACCCATACTATCTTAGCTTGCTCCAATATAACCTTTCCCAGTGACAATTTGGCACATCCAGCGGCTTCCATTGGGGTAATATGTGGGGCACATAGTCCAGCTACTAACGGAAACACTACTATCCGATCAAGATAAACTTTAAGTTATAATTAATTAGGCATGTGAGATAACAAACACAGCATTCAATATCCCGAATTGGAGGCTTCAATTAGCCCTGTCATTGTGAGTTTTTTAACACTATGGAATGTGACACAGTAATGATTCTAACTGAAAGTTGTACGGTTAGAATTTACTTATTGCCCGATTCAGTATTCCAGGGCTTTCATGTGGAGGAAATGGAGGATTTTTTTATCACGCCCTGGGCGTGTCCCACTCGTCTCAGGCCGGTTGGAATTGATTACCCACATGGGAAGATACCCTTTCATTGATAACCTTGAAGAGTGCGATCGGTCTCTTGCGACAGAGCCGCCTAGAAAAGAAACCATCTGACGAACACGCTACTTTCGAACATCCACCACTCTCCATTTTGTCATCTATCCTTTTCATCTGCGTCGCTTGTTTAGAACTAATTATTGAGAAGTACCGAGATTCTGGGATGATAGGGCAAATTGATTTACGCTCTCTTGAGTCTTTGCTGCTGGACTCACGCAACATGTGGGTTAACTCGGAGGAAATCTCTGACCTTGTCTGGAACCAATTTGCCCACCGGGAACAGAATCTTTATCTAAAGAACCAAATTACCGAATTAGCAGTTTCCTTACGTGGTTTAACTTGCATGTCATCAACGGTCCTGGTGAAAACCGTCAAACGATGAAATTAGCCCAGATAAATGTAGTGATATTTGCTCGGCCGTTGACGATCACGGCCAGAGATCACGTTCGGATTCATCAAACTAACCGGGACCCATCAACTTCGTTATGAGACTGTTTACTTTTTGCTCAGTTGGCAATATTCAACTTTTCGCTTAGTGTTCAACGGTCAAACAGGGCGCTGTCTGAGGTCAATTCTGAGTACTACAGCTCATTTGCCCACGCTATAGTTAATGCCGTTGATGTAAATAGTCATAAATTTTTTTTGGATTTCGTCAATACCGTATGTGCCAGCAACTACGCTCAAATAACAGCGTTTAAGACATCTCTTGTTTTTTAACAGTCAACCCACGGGTTATTAGGGTGGATTATGGATGCAGCATCACCATGGTCGACTGCCTTGTAAGAATCAACTTTGATTGTTGAACGTGATGGCGATTGTTTAGTCTAGCAAATACATTAACAGTCATTAAGATGAGCAAAAGATGTTCAGCATTCCCACATATTGTTACTCATTCACATTCATTGAGCACTCACTAAGCACTCATGGAGCGCTTATTAGACCTCACTGCTCTATCACGTGACGAAACTGAGCAGCTCAGTGAGTCTGGTTTCCAGATTAAATTTTACTCAGTGAGCCTGACTCTGAGCACCCTTATTAAAGCGGCGGCGGCTAAAATAAGAAGACCCCACCTGGCATAGGAAGAAAAAGTACGTATAGTGGCCTATGTAGACTAATCTTTAATGAAAAATGATCTTTGTATAGTTGTACAGGTGCATCCCATACGAATACCATTCTGCGTAATGGGTACACTATAAGTAAGCACAACAACACCCACCAGTGAGGCCGATAATTACCACAGATTATGTGTTAAATCTATGCAGTTACTTCATCCCTATTCTTTGTCTGAGAAGGGACGGTGAAGATACAGGCTGGCTCGGCCTCACAGCCCTCGCACTGTTCCATTAGAGGGCCATTATACTGTTTCTTGGCATGCAGCCACCAATTTGCCAGACCGAGCAAAAGACAAAATCCTAGAATCACGCATGTGTAGTCTAGATTGAACAAGGTGTTATTAGTATGAATGAGCTGGTATCAACAAAGATTTGCACTCGCGAATATATGGCACTTACTCATCGTAGATGCCTCCGTGGGGATAGTGACTGGCAAACACAGTATAACAGTCATGAGCGTAATAAAAGCAACCGCGTAGACATTAGCGATCCAGCCTAAGGGATCAGGTAGACGGAAACTGCGTCCAGGGGACAGGTAGATCGTTGATCGCTTTCGAGCAATTACCAGAATGATAGGAATGGCGAATGAGAGCTGCTGAAGGATAACGGACGAGCCCACAATTGCATTAAAAGCTTTTTGAACAAATAGTAGTTAGTACAGACTTCAATATTCCGTTTGGATGTCAAAGGTTTCTCACCTGTTTTCGAAGCGAGATACAAGAAGCCGCATAAAAATGTCAACAGCCAGACTAGGAGCAAGCTCCACAGGGGAACGTCTAAGCGGGGATGAAGATCTTGGAGAAAGCGCGAGAATAACAGCCCCTTATCGCGTGCTAGAGACCAGGCCAGACGAGACGATGCTTCCTGAGTAGCAATGATAATAGTCATCCCTAAGATAACGCTGATGGAAACTATGACTATAGCGATTGTGCGAGATCGAAAGCCTTGCTCCATAACCACAAACGGAATCCACCTAAGATGCGTTACTAAAGCGGCGAAACGGAAATGACAATGGCTGCTGAGACTGAGACTTACCGAGTCGTGGTCATGATCTCTTGGATATCAGATATAGCATAAACCTGTGCCACTGTATAGGCAAACCCTGTGGTGAACCCAATGCCAACTGCCCCCAGCATGGTGCGAGGTACGACCCTTTCCGCGTTGCTGGACTCCTCGGCCATATGCATGGCGCCGTCGAGGCCATTGTACATGTAGCAAGATGTCGAGAGACCGACGAGAAAACACACACCGTCTGGCCATCCAGTATAGTTCAAGAAGGTGTTCCAGACGAACTCGTGAGATTCTCTCGGATTTCCTCTTACAAGTAAGAGGACAAAACACGTCAAAAATAAGGCGATTGTGAGGATAACTTCGTAGAAAGTTAGATCAATGAACTTTGTTAGGAGACTTTTTGCAATACAAACACGCAAGAGTGTGTGTCCAAGGGTTCTTTTTCAGAACAAACGCATTGTATAGCATCGCAAAGAGCGCAAATCCTTGATAGACAAGGAAGACGTGCCATGACTGAGGCACGAAATCTGAGAGACTCGTAGATACCAGAGCTAGGAGCTGCTGAGCCGCAATGCTGGTGACAGAAACTCCAATAACAAGCCAAGAGAAAAGTGCCAACAAGCCACATGTATATGACAACCCCCGTCTCCATCGCTCTGGGGCAAGGATGGAGGCGAAGTGATATTGCCCACCTGCTGTTGGGTAAACGGCTGCTAACTCTGCCATTGATGCTGCTATTGCCAAGTAGGCTGTAGTAGTGACGAGTATTGAATAGATAAGGGTAGCTGGTCCTCCAGCTAGGAGTGCTAGCTGAAGGCTCCCAGCAATACCAGCCCAGCTATTACATATCACAAAAGCCAGGCAAAGCAAGGTGATGCCGTTCAACTGTTTCTTTACCTCGCCAGGAGTAGGATTGGCCATTTTTGGTTGTGAAATTGAGAGAGTATTCATCTTCTGAGCTTCAGAAGCTTTCTGTCTTAGTAGATACGCCACCTCTCGTAGAGTTGCAATGAGGCCTTATTGATGAGGCCAGATCGGTAGAGGTTTCCGGTTTACTTTGTAGTGATAACGGGTCTTATGCTTTATGTATGGTCGCGAAAAACAATGAAACATAGGCAAGAAGATAAAGTACAACCTCGGTACGGTTTTGTAATCAGCTCTCATCTGACGCTTTCCAACACGGAGACTTCTCCAATCACCATCAAAGATAGCAAAGGCTTGCGAGAAGAAGGGATAGCAGGAACTCAATTACGTGAAATGCGGGGTTAAGGTTGAGCAAAGTGACCATAAGTTAACAAAAGATTTCGGTACTGACTTTTGATCAACCGATAAGGATCACGACAGCCGGTCAAACTTATTTGCTCGCTCACTTGAGATACGGAGCGTTTCTCTTATATCGATTGGGACGAGAAGCATATTCCCAGCAAATCATAGATGGAATGAAGATGATGATAGGATCCTCGTTCTTATCCAACCCCAAATTTTAACAAATCAAAAATTAAAACCACCGAACAGGGCGAATGGCAGGTGTTCCACTGTTAGTGTGCTAGTTTACCGGTATTCGGGCTTCGGGTGTCGGATTTGGTACGCCAGTAAAGACCCCACGCTTGTCCATGATGGCTCTCGCGTCGTCCCCATAATGAGCCGATTGAGGTCCTATCAGGCTATCACAACATGCTACTCTTGGTGATTGGCCACTCTCTAAATTAATCTAGCTTGTGGATGTGATATCCTTGCTCGACGGAAGTCGGGCCTCGGTGCTCACGTGAGATCGTCCCTCCGCGGTTGTCAGAGAAAGGTTATGTTAATCTCACTCGGAGCAACTATCTGCCCGATGATTCTTGGAGATCTGGTACATGCGAGCCAATTGAATTCAGTCTTTGGAAAAATTGACATCATCGCGCTAAACAGCGGAACTGACTAATAACACAGAATACGGTAATACTAACCTCTTTGTCCGGAGTACAGGGAATTCAGGACAATTCGCAGACCCACTCGATAATGAACTCGGGTCAACGAATCGGCCGATTACTCTCCATCGAGGTCAACGGAGAACTAAAGTTGTCAGCTCAAGCTGATATAGGTTTTTATAATATTTTCTCAGGTCACATCTAAAGAGAAGCCATAGTATTAGCGGGTTGAGTCGAATTGGTTTGTTAACAAAAAAAATAAACAAGGCTATGCGAGATACCTATCGGTATTTTATGATTATCAGTAGTAATCCTGAGACAGGTTAATGAATGCTACCGTGCACGAAGTAAGCTAGTTCACGCCCCTCTGAACTTTAAACATCAGACATAAAGGTACTTACATGTAGATTAAATGACCAACAACAGGGAGATCCTGTAAGTATTGCCCCGCTTTTGTCGTCGAAGCTTCATGATCAATACCCGGCAAATGATAAGGTCTATGTCAATATCACAAGATAACTCCTATCAATAATACTCAATATTCAACTTGGAGGAGGGGGATCTTGCACTGGGTATAAATATTGCATCATTGACAATGTCATTCCCTCCAACTTGAAGCTCGCCCCTCGGTCCACTTCGACTAATAACACCTCTACTAAATACTCGCAAGTATGAAGACCCAAAGTTTAGTTTCAGGTTTAATACTATTATTTTCTCTGTGGAGCGCTCGGTGCTTGAGTTATTCTACCGACGGTACAAGCAATGGGTATAGCTACGAGAAGAGATCTAGCAAGCCTGGAAGCACCTTCCTCGTCGGCGTGGGAAAAGCCGATATCACTGGGTAAGGAATTGATGCCATCTTGCACCATGTTATAACTGACGAGTTACGACGATTAGCGCTGTCGTCCAGGTCCCCTTTGCAGGCTATGGTCAGCTCAACCAGACAGGAACCGGTCTCCGCCAGAGAATTTATGCTCGGTCATTTGTTTTTACTGATCCTGTGAATACCACCAATTCTTTCATTTACCTGGTACTCGATACCCAATCAGGGGATACTGCTGTTCGACATGGCATTATTCAAGGACTTCAAAGCCTGGGAGGGAAATATAGAAATTATGGAGAACATAACGTCGCAGTTTGTGGCACACACCAGCACTCAGGGCCGGGTGGGTGGATGAACTACTTGCTCCCCCAGATAGCAACTCTCGGTTTTGATAAGCAGACCTATACGGCAATTGTTGAGGGTGCTCTTCTTTCCATCCAAAGAGCATATAACAGTCTTGCACCCAGCACGATCAGCGTCGGTACTATCGATATCCCGGACGGAAATATCAACCGCAGTCCATATTCGTACTTGGCAAATCCGGCAACCGAACGAGCTCAGTACGATTCTGATACGGATACAACAATGACACTCCTGACATTTGATCGCCTCTCGGACGGTAAAACTACCGGAGTGTTGTCATTCTTCTCTGTACATGGCACGTCTCTCTACAACAACAACACGCTCGTCACTGGAGATAATAAGGGCGTGGCAGCCTATCTCTTTGAGAGAGGTGTTACAAATGACACTCGGTTCGCAAATAATTTTGTCGCTGGGTTTTCGCAGTCAAGTGTTGGAGACTCAAGCCCCAATGTGTTGGGTCCATTTTGTGAAGATACAGGATTACCCTGTGATTTCAGAACCAGCACATGCAATGGTCGCACTGAGCTTTGTCAAGGGCGCGGTCCCTACTTTGGTGAAGCTGATGGCGGAGCCAAGAGTGCATTCGAGATGGGCCGTCGTCAATACAACGCCGCATTTCAGCTATATGGGCAGATATCCTCCGGATCAGGGGTAATGCTCACTGGAGAATCATCAGTGGCTTCTTACCATACGTGGCAAAACATGTCTGGGTATGAATTTATCTCTCCCTTCAATGACAGTCTTCAATCAACATGTTACGCAGCCTTGGGTACTTCATTTGCAGGTGGAACCAGTGATGGACCAGGGGCGTTTGACTTCACTCAGAATAATACGTCCCCTAATCCTTTTTGGCAGCTAGTACGGACTGGTCTTCACCAACCAGGGCCAGCACAAATTCGATGTCAATATCCAAAACAGATCTTGTTTGATGTCGGGGCTATGGACGTACCATATGCCTGGGCTCCTGATATTGTTGATGTTCAGGCCCTTCGTCTTGGCCAACTGCTTATCATAACTTCTCCAAGTGAGATAACTACTATGTCTGGACGTCGATGGAAGAACGCCATTGTGGACGCGGCCGAAAGCGTTCTATCTATCTCGGATCCCATCGTTGTTTTGGCATCACCCGCAGACTCATACGCACACTATGTCACAACAGCGGAGGAATACAACGTGCAGCGCTATGAAGGGGCATCCACTCTTTACGGACCCAACCAGCTAGCGGCATATGTGAACCTGAGTCTGACGTATTTGCCGTATTTGGGAACCCCAAATGTCGTTGCACAATTACCTAAACTTCCTGAAGGCACCAAGCCTCCGGTCACCACAGATTATTCTCTCTCGTTCGTTCCGGGCGTCGTCTTTGACAGCCCCATACTTGGACATTCGTTCGGAGATGTCCTCTCTTCTTCGTCGAAAGATTTCTACTCGGTGGGAGATGATGTTTCCGCCACCTTTGTTGGGGCAAATCCGCGCAATGACCTCCGCTTAGAAAAAACGTATGCAGCAGTGGAAATGAATGTTGACGGTATTTGGGAAGTTCTGCGCACTGACGCGGACTGGAACCTGATCTTTCAATGGAACCAAACAGACGTGCTGCTAGGTACGAGTCAAGTGAGCCTGACCTGGCAAATTGAGGATTCATACTATCTTTCAGGCTGGGGCAAGGCTCTACAAAGTGGGACTTATCGGCTGCATTATTATGGAGATTCTAGAGATCTGTCTGGGACTATTTCCTCCATTGAGGGAGTGGGACCCGAGTTTAGCCTTCGAATCTAGCCAGGGCACCTGGAAGATCAAAATGTGTTAGCTCTGACTCAGGAACATTTTGTTTCTTCGTGTGGTTACATACATACTATTTCTCTCCGGTTGTCGAGACAACCTCCGCACCAATTCCTCTCACGTATAGTTTATCTCAAAATGAACAGAAACATCGTTCCTGTGCCTTCTGTAGTGCCGTAGAAAGATTCATCACGCGTTTGAAATTTTTTCTCCAGACTTTGCGTGAGATATTCTTCCTAAAGAGCGCCTTGTTCTGGACCGAGGGCTATGGTGACTTCCGGCACATACCGAAGGAACCACAGACCTCGAAGTTGTCGGCCTCGGCTGCGAGTTCCGTCCGTCATTTAGTCACCCAAAAGCGACTCCCGAGCTTCGACTCCCGAACTTCAACTCGCCACTCACCAGAGTCCAGACTGATTATGCTCCTCTCGCGGCTCTCGCATGTTTGCGATGCCTGTAAGGCACGCAAGGTCAAGTGTCACCGTATGGCTTTCCGCGGGGTACATATACGCACATTGAAAGATAACCCTTTCTTGTAGGGCCTTTGGACCCTAGGGGGCCGTGTGCGAACTGCCGTGTACGTGCTGAAAAGCATTGGAAAGGAGAGATTCTCACATTTTGCAACAGAAAAATAGAGAGAGCTGCGTCTATAGCCCGCTGAAGAGGAAATACAAGTCTCGTGCTCACGGCACAAGACATGATTCGCCAACTAACCGCCCTCCTGGCGAGGAAATCAACGGAGTTGAAATACCAACGACATCGTCAACCGCCTCGTTCTCCGATAGGCTTATAGAAGACGTGGGGAATAATCCAGAAATCTCACAGATACAAAAAGTGGCTCCAAGTACTTCATCTCACCCTCTTTATATTGATCAGTTGCTTGAAATTCGACAGTCCGCCGGTCGCACCCAGAATGCTTCGTTTCTCTTAGGGGTGAGTCTGCGAATCCAAAATTTTAGGGACAAGACATGAAACTTACTATTGAAAAAAAGGCCAATGAAAATTATTGTTTGTTATCTAGAATGTCATGGTTCGATGCGTGTCGTATTCCCTAACTTGGTTCTAGTGGCAAGCTCTAGTATGAGTTTCTTCTCCGACCTGCGATTGAACGATCTTTCTGCACGATTAGGCCACGATGCACTAAAGTCACTTGTTGCACAAATATCAGGTATGGTGAAGTCTCGTGTGGAAGTGCTCCATCGCAACCTCGGTCCATCCAGTATATGGAACCAATCTGGCGATGTCCCGAGATTATCGCCTCAAAGGGAACGCCATCTGATCAATAGTATGCCAATACCTATCAAAAAGTTTAGGCCAGTACTGAACCTGAAATAAACCTTAGTCTATTTCGAAAATATTCATCCGTTGTATCCATTTCTGGACCGTGACGAATTCGAGACCAGAGCGTCTGCCTCCACTTCAGAGGCTGGTCACACAAATGAACTGGCGTGGACAGCTTTATACCACACCGTCCTAGCTCTTGGCTGTGAATTCGACGATGGAGGCTCATTCACACCTGGTGAGGATGAAGCCTGGGGTCTTTTCAAGGTGGCACTTTCTCTTTACCCGAGAATCCTGTTGCTTAATACAGACCTACTGGAGGTTCAGGTAAGAAATACCTACGCAGATAAATTCTTTTTTATTTCTTTCCTCGTACTTTATCAAAGCCATCTTCCAGCTCTAACAATGCATAGTCGATCACAGCCATGGTATGTTTAATCCTACCTGTGAATAGTCCAAAATGTAATAATTGCAACAGGCCGTCTTCTGTCTCAATTTGTCAGGCACACAGATCCAAGGAAAGATAATATCTGAAGCGGCGCGGGTTGCACAACGAGCATTTTTACATAAACCATCTGGCGGCATTGACGCTGCAGCGCGTAGCCGAGTCTTCTGGGTGGTATATTATATTGAAAAAACGGTCACTTTTCATCACGGTACTACATCAGTTAGTTTTTTTTTTTTTTTTTTTCCTCCTATCTTCGCAGCTGAAATTTGTAATAGTTTATCACGGATTGTGACATTGGGTCACCCGTACCCACGATTCAAGAGTCAGTTCTAGGTGATTTCGACTGGTTTCTTACTGCAATACGGTTTGCGAGACTCTATTCGCGCATATCTACCGACTTGTTCTCCATAAGTGCTACCAACAAGTCAACGGCAACATACCTCGTTAATATTGATGAGCTAGAAGGGCTTCTGGAGCAGCTTAGACGAGCGATTCCTCGTCAGTTTCAACCTGGCACGAAGTTAAGACCACAAGCTTTCTCCCATTCTTGTGGAATGCTCGCAGCTCTTCGAGTGCACTACCACTATCACGAGCTCAAAATCGCGCTTCACCGATTGAAGCTTCATGTTACTCGCGACCAGACTACATCTCAGTCTCGGTCCGCCATCACAAATATGATGAACTCAGCGCGTGCCGTAATTGAGGCCACACGAGCTATTTACCAAGAACCATCTACCCCGTTTTTGTAGGTTTTCCCCCCTGTTTTCTGCCTTGCGATACTTACTGATATGTTCAGTATTATTGTCGTCATGCCTATGACGGCACTGTTTATCTTGTTCGACTTCGTCATCCATAATCCGACTCATGTGGATGCTGGCAGTAGTCTTGTCCTACTTGAAAGTGCGACGGGCTATTTTTGCGCTCTTGAGTACGCTACTGGCGGGTATCTACCAGGCTCTATGCTAATGCGATTTGCATCCATCGCGCGCAAATTCCACTCTTCTCCTCAAGCTCTGTGCGCCAACGATATCAGCAGTGGTTGCAATGATATGGATACAGCCGTCGAACGATCCGTGCCTGAAATCTATGACACAAGTTCAGTTGCACATAGCCAGAGTCCGTCGAAGGTTAGCTTTGCCTCGGAACCATGGATATTCTATTACGTTATCTAATATTGAAGTATCTTACCAGGTTACCTCTCACTCAATGACCAACGACTTATCCCAGAACCCTTCATACTTGTTCTACAATAGCTCTATGTATGCAGATGGCAGGCTCACACCTGGTCTGGAGATTATGGATCTGTTTGGAGGCCCCGTCCTTGGCATTGATTTCTTCCCAACATCAGAGTGATACACTGTATTGAGTTTAAATTTCTGCAGTATTTGTATTCATAATCCTACTGTTGAGCCCTAGCCATTTCTATCCATGTAATAGCATCAACCCTGCTTGGCGGTGCATTGAAAACCAGTCCACCAGCGTCAAGTTCCCCCCCCCCCGATCACGGAAATGAGTGATGAGATCAAGCTGCGGCTTCTATCTAGAGCAATAAAACAGGCTCACCGTCATTACTATCTATTCTCAAATATCATTCATAGCTTAACCCATGAGTATAGCCTTAAGTTTCGGTCGACAGAGCACACTGACTGTTGGAATTGACTTTAATTTGCCCATCCTCGTCCAAGACAATTAGAGTCGGTAGAGAAGTCAGCAACTGAATTTTCATAATTTGCTGAAAAGGCGGGGAAAGAACCAGCCCGTTGTCAAAGTATTGTCGACTTCTCTTATCTATGTACACCCGCCGTGATGCGCTCTAAATTTGATACAAGGTATCCAAAAATCCTTCGGCAAATTGAGAGACCGCGTTCATATCCGCAATACTCCCCCCTACTCCATAGAGCACCGCACTCTTTCCACTCTGGCTTATGCTTTGCTCCCCATTCACTTTTCGCTCTTCAATCCGAAACGCCATCTCTGTGATAACCTCAATCAGATCGGATATGAGGCCATCAACGACTTTAGCTGTGGGTATGGTAAATGCACAATGAATGGCAGGTGGAGACTGTAAAGCATTCAAGTGCCACCCTCTAGCGTCCATAGCATCAGCGATATCGTACGTCTCAATTTCATCGTTCTTGCTTGTGAAGGCGACGACACTAGCCAAGGGATGTCCAATAATCCCAATATGAGACTTCAAGACCGGATTTGTCAGTAGTGTAGTCTCAAATTTCTTTGCAGCTCCCACAATCTGCTGGCAGCTATCTATATAGCCAGCCTCTCCCATTTTCATCAATGTGGCCCAGGCTCCTGCGATCAGGGAACCAGGTCGAGATCCTGCCATGGATGGTGAAGCATATGCACCACCTGACCAATCAGGAAACAGGAAGTATTGATAGTTTCGGTAGGATCGATTGCGATATAATAAAACGGAGCTGCCCTTCGGAGCAAAGGCATACTTGTGGGTGTCAACGCTGATGCTGGTGACCCCGGGTTGTCGGAAGTCGAAGCCCCCCTCGCTTTCGTACGGGGATGGGAATCCCGACTTCTTCAAGAAAGCAATAATGAGCGATCCCAAACAACAGTCAACATGCATTGGAATACCATGTTCAGTTGCCAATCGTGAAATCTTTGGGATATCATCAACAATACCGTGTGGGTAGTTCGGTGCAGACGCAACGAGGAGCACCGTGTTTCGATTTATGAGTCGGCGGATCTCGGGAACAGATGCTTTGTATTCAGGAGCCGGACATGAAACCAGGTTTAGCTTAATTTTGAAATACTTGGCCGCCTTGAAGAACGCCGCATGAGCGGTACTCGGAATGATCCTGATAAGTTAGTACCCCAGTCGAAAGAGATGCATAAACGAGGACATACATCTCCGGACTTGTAATATTGCGCTCAGCTGCTGCCTTCTCCCGAGCTGCCAGGCATGCCATAATGATAGATTCTGTACCACCACTTGTTGTGACGCCCGCACCATCTTCAGGGCCATTAAAAGCTCTTAAGATCTGCATTGCCCATTAGCTACAGGCCAAAAAGATTTGTGTAATGTCCACATACCATTGCGACTACTTCTGCTTCCATCTTTCTGACTCCCGGAAAGACGTCTGGGTGAATGGGATTTGAGACGCTGAACTTGCCAATAGCTTTGGTCTGCATATCTAGCAGCTCACTACCTCCGTGGTACACTGCACCGCTGACTCGACCATCCTCCCATCTCGTATGGTCCAAGTTACGGAGATACTCCAGCTCCGCCTCAATCTTCTCAAAATCCCATCCCTCTTTAGGAAGAGACAAATTACTCTTGGAATCAGGGGCTTGAATACCTAGCTTCTGTGCCATTGCTTTCGAGATTGCCTCCGTGTCTTTCTCACCCCTTTTGGAAACCCGTGGATGTGTCCGTGTTGCCGGAGATACCTGTCCACGCCATGATTCCAAAATGTTTGTCAAAACTCCTTTTATACCGCGATGAGCTACTGTCTCGTAGACTGTGTAGACACTCCGTATAACAAAAATAGCACAGACTAGTCGCGAAAAGATATCGAATTTCGACGCCTCTTTGCCTTGCTCCAGCAGCAATCCCAACAACTTCGTGGTTCGATGAAGCGAAGACATAGCGACTTGCAGCTTGCAAGAGAACTAAAAAAGGGCACCAGTCAAAGTCCAGAAGGGAAATCTGGAAATATGCCTGCCTTTAAATTGGCCTCCAACCTTTTGTAGATCCATATGTGGGGATAGCATCGTGATAAAATAATCGTACCTTGCGCCATTTGAGAGCCGAGAGCCGAGCCAACCAGCACCACCAATGATATCCACATCCGAAACCCGGAAACCGCGCAACTATTCACGACCGTGAAGTTTCGGATAAAGGAGCTGTTAGGTAGCGTGAGATAGGTATGGGTCATCAGCAAGGCTTCCCTGACTTTCGATGTTCTGTCATTTCCAAATTCCGTGCACTCGGAGTTGACCGCAAGCCAACATGCCTTTTTCTCACCACTCTCATTCGGGAGAGTTTTGCCCTAGCCATGCTCAAAACACTTTGGAGCGGGTGATCCAGACAGCTATAGAGCAAGGTATGGAGGTTTTCTGTTTAAGCGAGCATATGCCACGCTCTCAAAACGAGCTATATGAAGAAGAAGTAAGTTTCATCGACAACGAAGCATTCAAGTGGTCTTTTTTGACCATTGTTTTTCTGTGTTAGGCCCAAGCCGGCGTAACTGCAGAATCTTTAGTGAGCAATGAGGCAAGGTATTTCAAGACAGCGGTTTGGCTACGGGAACGATATGCCTCGCAAATCAAGATTCTCATTGGATTTGAGTCAGAATGGATCCAGAGCAGCGTCTCGCTTAAGCTCATACACGATTCGCTATCGAGGCATCCTTTCGAATTCTTTGTTGGATCTGTGCATCACCTCCACGGGATCCCCATCGACTGGAGTCAAGCTCTATACTCCAAGGCGCGAGAAATTTCTGGTGGAACAGACGAGCGTGCGTTTGAGGACTATTTTGATGTTCATTACGAAATGTTGCAGCACTTGAAGCCCCCGATAGTAGGTCATTTTGACCTAATTCGGCTTCATTGTGATGATCCAAATTTATCAAATGGGGGACTTCAGAAATGGGCCGGTGTCTGGCAAAGGGTGAAGAGAAACCTCAAATATATCTCGAGCTACGGAGGGCTTCTGGAATTGAATTCTGCTGCACTGCGGAAAGGACTGGAGATGCCATACCCGGCTGCAGAAATTTGTCAAGTATGATTCCCTCGTCACTCTGCGTTTGCGTCGCGAAATACAATTTAACATCAAACCAGAAATTTCTCTCTATAGATGGCAGGTTCTGTCTTTCTGACGATAGTCATGGAGTCGCTCAAGTTGGGGCAAAGTACCACGAAATCTTGGATTACATCCAAGAGCAAGGTATCAAAAATCTCTACTTCTTGGAATTGGCCCCTGTGGGAATAAGCAGAGGGCTGGATCCACGATTTCCGCGCACTTTGGTGAAATATCGTTCTTTGGCAGAGGTGAAAGAGATGGATTTCTGGAAGCGATAGACTATTCAGTAATTCTCTCGGAATTCGCATGATTGCTCCCCTTTAGATTACCGAGTGCACGTGTAAGTAATCAATGTCATCTAAGATGGAAGTCCATATCCGAGAAAGTAATTTCCTCCCTTCGCATCTCGGGGCTCGGTCATAGATAGCCTCAACCAATCGAATAATGGAGCCGCACTGTGCCACAATGCATAAATAAATACCTATATATTGTTCTAGACATAGGTGCTGCATAGGTGCAGACGACCGTGCAGAATGGAAATGAAAGACGTCACTGATCAAGCGATCTGCCAAACCACCCTTTATGTGGAATCGGCGACATTGGAATTGGATGAGGGTAGACTCACCATTAGACAAAGCCAAAGTATGACTTATCGTCCCATAATGAGACCTGGCATAGAGCTAACATTCTTTAGAACAGTTTGCCCGTCAACAGTCGATTCAAGTCCAATACTTGCACGTGCTTTGGGCTCATGCAACTACAGAGCAATTGACGATTCATTTCGCTGCAGAGCGGCACAAAGTCTTAAACGCGGCAACGAGAGTGTTTCAGCTCCTTGACCAGGACACTTCCTCTTCTCGTGTACAGGCCTGGATCCAGTTACTTCTCGACCGCGCCTACGGCGCATCAAAGCCACGAAAGCATCTGAAGATCTATTTGAATCCGGTTTCAGGCAAGGGATCCGCTGTGAAACTGTACCATCGATATGCAGAACCTCTTTTTGAGGGAGCCCGGTGCCATGTCGAGCTGCATGAAACGTGTTATTCCGGCCATGCGAGTTGGTCGGTCAGAGAAGACCGTGATATTGATTCATGGGATGCGATTGTGTGTTGCTCCGGTGATGGTCTACCCTACGAGGTTATCAACGGCATCGCGCAGAGAGATGATGCTGGGTACATCTTGAGAAATGTCCCTATTGTCCAGCTCCCTGGAGGTTCGGGGAACGCAATGTGCGTCAACATGTTCAAGACAACCAGCTTCTCCCATGCAGCGCTCTATACAATTAAGGGTATTCGTCAACCAATAGATCTCATGTCAGTCACTCAAGGCGACAAACGGTATATCTCGTTTCTGTCGCAGAACATCGGATTATTAGCCGAGTGCGATCTTGACACTGAGAACATGCGATTCCTCGGCGGCCAAAGATTTGCGGTCGGATTCCTCCAACGCCTTTTCAACCCTCCCGTGTATGGATGTGACCTCGCAGTCTACAATCCAGCTAGCGAGCATCTGACTGACCCTTGTGCTGGTCGCCTTGGCAGCCAGTTCGATGTAGAAGGCCGGCACGGGTTACCCGACTTACAATTTGGGTCCGTGAATGACAGTCTGCCGGAGAGCTGGAAGTGGGAGCATCACCCAACATTAAGCGTCTTTTTTGCAGGTCAATTCCCATTTGTGGATGCCAAATCTAAGGTGTTTCCTGACGCAAACCACGATGATGGACTGGTGGATATCATCATTATGGATTCTAGAATTGGTGCTCGGAAACTTTTGCAATTGTTCAAGAGGGTCCCAGAAGGCAATCACTTAGCAATGCGCGAGGTTCATCACCGGAAAGTGTCAGCCTACCGGGTTGTTCCTGCCAGGACTCGTGGTGCCTTTAGTATAGATGGAGAGAGGTCTTCCTTCCAAACATTTCAAGTCGAGGTTCATCCACAGCTGGGTATGACACTGGTCGCACCGACGGGAGTCGAAGAGCGATAATGCTGTTGCTAATTTCAACATGTAAGTAGTATCGCTCAGAAAAAGACTTGGTTCTATGTTCTAAATTCCATAGCTAGAAAATGCAGATCATTATGTACTCGACATCTGACCCCTCCTATACATAGATGAAGATTAGTTTCCGGTAAGACTACCGTTGAGCAGATTGAATGTATGGTAAATCTATGAAAATAAAAGGCAGATGGGAATCTCATTAAGTAACGCCATTATGCAATCGACTGTATGTTCCTGTACAGATTCTCCGGCCCCAGTCGCAGCTCTGTGGCTACAACTACACCCAAATATGTCTCTCGCCTTCCATTACTCCGGTATATCACCGCATGACCGGTGGCCGGCCCTCCTTATTCCATCGCACACGACTCTGCACCCACTCGACGGCAGCCTGCGCGCCCGATCCAGGCAGCGCGCTGACCGGCAGCACACGGCTGTCTCGAACGCCGCTCCCCGTCTCTCCCTCAAAGACTTCTCTTCCAAAGCCCTCTTTGATGCGAACAACTTCCACGCGATCTTCACGATCCTGCTTTTTGGCCAGCACGAGGATCGGCACCCCTGCCGCGTCGGCACTCTGCAGCGCCGACTCTAGAACTTGTCGACACTCGTCCAAACGTCGAAAACCACTCCCCGGCGCATTAGTCTCGACTTTATGGTCTGAAAATTGCTCGTTGGTCCCGATACCCGATACTCCCTCGTGTCGGACCTGATACCGAGCTCGGGCGTCGACTGGAGGCAGATGGAAGGCGGGTGATATCTGGATCTTGGCCAACGTCGGCGCTGTCGACCACGAAGATGATCGCGTGGCAGCTGGAGTAGTAGCTTTGCCAAAGACCGCGCATGGATATTTGGCCGCCTACATCCCAGATCTTCGGGGTTCATATCTGATAAAGAGATGGTTGCGACATTCTGGCCGACGGTGGGGACGGTCTTGACCGGGTTTGGCGCGGGGGTGCCGTCTGGGCGGGGTTGGTAGAGGGCTTTGATTTCGGAGAGCAGGGTGGTTTTGCCGGCGTTATTTAGACTGAGGAGGAGGACGGAGTACTCTGCGATTGCGACGTTCAGCGAGAAGCCTCGGGGTATAAGTAGGTATGCGCTGCGGTTACCTTCTTGGTGGTCGCTAACACTATGTACCATCGCGCAACGCTAAGTCATCTGGACACGAAATTGCTTCAAACAGTTGGACAGAGACTCATAATCTAATGTCAAGAACACCTTCTCCCTTCCCAGAGAGCTAGTGAGCGGCGATCGGGAAATTGTGGTCGCAGGTGAGACAGATCTGACTAATGGAATGCGATGAAAACCATCGTTAACTGACAGCCAACAAGACGACCACTCTGGCTTAGGACGCCAGTATTCTCGAGAGATTAATGAGGGTGGAAATGAGGCTTGTTCCTTGAGATTCGTGGAAAGACAGCCCAGAAACAGTGCGCAGGACAAGAGCTATTCTGAACAGACATCGCACACATTGAGCCTTTTCTCGCCGTCAAGCCGTGAGATGTCAAGATCGATGCGCGGTCCAGCGGTTAACTAGTTGGCAATGGTGATGCTCTACCCATGATCCTCCCTAATAAAGACTGTTGAAAAACAAGGGATGAATATTTTGACACTGTTACCTGAGAATTATAGTTGCTGGCACATACGGGAAGATAAAAACAAGAAATGGATGACTATTGACATTAACAGCCTTCAAATTATGACACGGGTAAATGAGCTGTAGAACTTGGAATTGACTTCAGATAACGCCCTGTTTGACCGTTGAACATTAAGGGGAATATTGAATAATGCCAACTGAGCAAAAAGTAAAGAGTCTCAAACCGAAGTTGGTGGGGCGGTCATTTTGATAATCCGAACGTGATATTTAGCCGTGACTATCAACGGCCGAGCAAATATAGCTACGTTTATGTGGGCAAATTTCATCATTTGACGGCTTTCACCAGGACCGTTGATGAGATGCAAGCTAAACGGTGGTTTGTGTGCTTTTGTTAGAACCCCACATCTTGTTGGCTTGAGTCATAGGTCACGTGGCGTTCGGGGTCAACGGGATCCCCCAAGGAACAGGAAAATGAAGTGCTGGAATTTTTCGGATCGCCCTGGAGGCTGGCCTACATAAACCCTCTTCCAGCAAGGAGCTAAGTCTAAAGAGGCTAGTCCAGAGCTTAACTAAATGTAGTTGTCGATTGAGTTGTAAGTTAGCACGTGATGTTGCGGTAAGACTGATAGATGTTACGCCCTTCCGGCTTACACACATGTTGTAGCGCAGCGCACGTGGCTAGCACGTGACGCACGAACTATCTCACTAGCGGAACACCCAGACTTAGAGAGAAGGGAACACAATTTGACCAATCACTCAACAATGGTAGCAAACCCATTCGCGAAAATTTTTCGCAAGTGATCACGTCCCCGTGCTCCCCTCTGCGTTTTCCTGTGGTTAAACCCGGGACTCACTCTTATTTATTGTTATTAACACTGCGATTCGTTCGTCGTTGCTCTCACAGCCCCGCACGGGTGCTGTGACTGGTGCACCGGACGCCACTTCGTACCACTATATCATTCTAATTCGCCCTACGAATAACACCACCTTATTCTGATTCGCCTTACGAGTTTATATTGTAGATCTACCTATTCCTCTACTACTACGAGTTAAGTTACTCTCGTCACCTCACTTTACTTCCTACTACTCTAGACGGAAGGTAAGCCTAGATAAGTACCGGGATTACCTACGACCTTAGTACGTAACTCGCGACCTTCCTTATAAGGAATCCTACGCCTAAACGTACGGATCTATATCTTCTTATCTTTATTAAATAATTTCCTATTCTACCTAAAGAGCGTAGTCGTACTAAGCGCTCTACCCCGTAGATACTACCCTACCCTTAGGACTAGGTAGTTAATATCGCTATATTAAGGAAGGCTTTACGTATATTCGTAGTAGATAACGTAGACTCTATCGCGCTTATTATAGCTATAGGCGAGTTATAGTCTACGTAACCCTCGGTAGCGCCTATATCGATATACGTTTTAGACACTCCTATAACCCTATAGGAGAGCCTCCTTACTATCACGGGCCAGTGCCCGATATAGGTCACGTGTATCACGAGACCTTGGCATGTTAACGTGGAGAACGCGCAGGATAAACTTCCCCTCCTTAAGCTTTTTGTAAACAGCATATTGGCCTAGTTAGATTAAATCAAGTCTTGCTTCAGCCCTTCACATACAAAAAGCTTCCTTCTACACTTAGAAGTATCATTGGTTATTAGAAAAGCCCTAGGAAAGCGACCTAGGCACTTATTAGAAAGCCCCCTGAATCTCTAGTGATTCAGTGACGAACAGCGATTGGAACGGAATCCTCGCGCATAAAACTCTTAGCGCTCGAGACGTATTAGAAAGCCTTAGGAGATCGCAATTCCTAGGTATATTAGAATATTAGACGAAAAGCGACCGACATATTACCGGCACGCTACATAACCCCTAGCAGCTATACAGCACTAGGAATCGACGAGCCCTCCTAGGTAGGCGCAGACGCTATTACAGTAGTTAGCACAGACCTAGGCTATGCAGAACGAAGAACGAGAGCGGCACTACTAATAGGAAGCTACATAAGAAGAACGGATACGTCGTCTCGAAGCAATATTAGAGCGCTAAGCCTTACTAGCCACGACGATAACCACGATAAACGAAGGATAGGCGACACTAGCCCGATCGGCTACCGAACCGGTGCCGATTCCTCCACGAATAGAGATTATTCACCGACCGAAGCCCCGTCTCCCGGACCTAAAGCCATTCGGTAGAAGCACGAGCGACTAGCTAACCTAGCGAATTTCGATTAAGAATAAGCTTAGTGTAGACGGCGAAGCTATTAGTTCTCCTTAGGACTAATTTATATATATCTTCTCTAGACTAGAGAAGCTTATATAGAAGAATACCGGAACCTTTATAAAACTCCGCCGAGACACTAACGAACTATAGGCCTTACTCAACTACCTCGAGAATATCTATAGAGACCTAAATATTAAAGTACGCGTAGCTAGGCGACTCTACTAGATTCGGTAACCGGAAGATATAAGCTTTTCTAGGTTCCTACCACGGCTAGAAAAGGAATTCGCTAATACCGACGCTCTTAAATAGTATAACGAGGCTAAGCGATAGATTCTCCTCGGAGTACTTAATAAGATAATAACGAATTCGTTAATAAATCGGGGTATTCCCGCTACCTTTTCGGACCTAATCTCTCGGCTACACGAGATAAGCTCCGATATAGATACCCTTAATATCACTAAGGTAGAACGGCCGCGTCGGCCGCGTTCGCCTAGATAGAACGACGACGAAATAGATTAGACGCCTACTATATCGGTAAACCGAACCGAAACCTACACGAAACACCACCGATCTAGGACTAGAGCGCCGAGGTAGGCTTAATAGGTTAGCTAGGACGTACTAGAGTAGCGGCGGGCCGATAGGAAGTGCCTACGATGTGGAAAGATCGGCCACTTTATCGGGACGTACGCGCTACTACTAGTATAACGGCCGGGTAGTGTATAAATTACGTCCGCTTCGAGTAAGAAGGGAAAGGAGCGTACGGTTAAAGTGAAGAAATCGAAGCCTATAAGCGACGAAGATTCCGTTATAATAGCCTCTAGCGACGAAGATATAACTACTAAGGATAGATCGGGAAAAGAGTAGCTCCTATTCTTAGCCGCGAGTAGGAGCGAAAGGGGGTCGAAAAGCTACTAGAACGTAAGATACCGCCGTTTATAGTCGATACTAGAGTGAATAGAATTTAATTTACATAAGCTCTTATCGATAGCGGCTACCGCTATTATATAATAGTAAACGAGTCCTTAGTCTAGTTACTCGACCTCCCGCGTATTAAGATATAGCCACGAATCCTCGACGGAGTCGTACCGAATCAGTACCGAATCACCTACGCTACCTACTTCGACCTCGATATCTACGGCTATTAATAGGGCCGTATATTCGCCTATATTATCGGACTATAAAGCGATAGTATAATACTCGGAGACCTATAGTTACACGACGTAAAAGGGCGATACTTAGTAAGGAAAGGATACCTAGATATCTTTATAAAGTCTAGGGAGCGGATAAGGTATTAGAATCATATAGATCGCACTATTAGGCCTATTAGGGTAAAGGCACTACGTATTACCTAAGCGGAGGCACTATCTATCTAGTAACTTATATAGAGCGTATCGGATATAAATCGCTTACGAATCGGTAGGGTCTCGCTAGACGACATCGAGAGAGTACTCCGTCCTAAGAAGCATATCGATCTAAAGGATAAGCTACTAAAATACTACTAGCGATAGATAGCGGCCTTTAGCTAGTAGCTTACTAATTAGCTACTATCACACCGACTAGGGGTCGATTATAAGATCCCCTTAAAACGCGACTAAAATAGCGTCGAAGAGCCACTACTATATAGTCCTCTCTACGGTATAAATAAGGAAGAACTTCTTTACCTACGGAAGACGTTAACGGACCTACTTAGGAAGAACTTTATACGTATAAGCTAATCGCCCGTAGTAGTACTAATCTTACTAGTGAGGAAGCTAGGTAGAGGCGTACGATTCTATATCGATTACCGAGGATTAAATAAACGGACAGTAAAGGATCGCTACCCTCTACCGCTAATTCGAGAAACGTTACGGAATATAGGCTACGCCCGCTAGTTTATAAAGCTCGATATTATCGCGGCCTTTTATAAGATCCGTATTTACCCTAGAGAAGAATAGAAGATAGCATTTCGGACGCGATATAGGCTCTACGAGTAGAACGTAACTCTATTTAGGCTAACTAGCGTACCGGTAACGTTCTAGAGGTATATTAACTAGACGCTACGAGAGTACCTCGATGATTTTATATCGGTATACGTCGACGACATAATAATCTACTCTAACGGAACGCTAGCGGATCACCGCCGAAAGGTCGGCGATATTCTATAGAAACTAATAGACGCGGGTCTATATATAATATCGCGAAGTTAGAGTTTAAGCAAAAATCGGTAAAATACCTTAGCTTTATTATCGAAGCCGGGAAGGGGATCTATATTAACCTAAAGAAGGTAGAGGCTATTAGGGTATAGGAGAGACCGAAGTCTATACGAGATATACGAAGCT